TTCATTATTATTGTAGCTTGGTTTGCCAACTGAATTTACCAATATTAGGCTTGATTATAATCATATAAAAAACCCAGACCCACCCCATAAGTCCAAAACCATATAAGGCTTCCAGCAAAGATCAGTATAGTATTTCTCATGTGTTAATTAACCTTTTCATATCAAAGATCCTCTTCAATAAAGTAGATAATTGAAATAAATCCAAATTAGGGGAAAAATTCTGCCGATAGAAAGACATTAAAGAAAACTTCATTTAATAAATCAATAACCCATGTAATAAAGGAAAATAATCTAAAGTATGCTAAATGAGAAAAGAGGTATTATAAAGCTAATCAACCCAAGGGAAAACTAATTGAGATAAAGATAGTTATAAAGAGATAATATTCAACTAATAAAAGTAACGCCCTTTAACAAAATAAAGAAAACTCAAAGACAGAATATCTCTGGATGAAAATTAATGTCCAGTTATATTTCATTATATAACGATAATGTATGGGATATCAGTAATTGATAAATAAACAAGTATTAAGTATTGTTTTTAGAATATAAAATATGTATGTGCTTTGATTATGATGATTGTTTATGCAATGTTGTAGATGGTTTCCTTGATGAAAACTCAGAAAGTATGCAACGACACTCCCAATAATTTGAATGACTTAACTTCTAAAAACAAACTAATATACAAAGCTATATTAATGAACGAGAGAAAGAGTATGTTATAATGTCTGTTCTTCAACACTACCGCTCTTTGATAAAAAGCTGTGAGAGAAGAGGGATCACGAAGAACGTACTTGTGCCAGGCATGCGCAGAATAAAGATCGTGGGAAGAAGAAAGAGATAAGGGAAAGAAAGAAAAGATCCTCTTTTTTTGAAAAACATTTAATTTAATAAATTAAATAAAAATAAAATTTTAATTAATTATTTTATTTATTTTTGAACTCTTTTTATCTTCTTTCTTATTATTACTTTTGACTATTCTTTTTTGAATGATTATTAATCGAAAGGATTTTTTCCACATGGTTTATGAGCCAAAGGTTTATCTTTTATTTAGGTATTGTAATGATTTAATAAAGCTCATTACACTATTTTAGGTCTCCATTTATGGTTCCAATAACACGCTAATTTTATTACTAAATTCTAAGTGAGACTGTAGCCATTGTGTCACAGTTACGCATTATTAAGGGACCGTGATTGTTTAAGATAGGTTTTGCTAATGTTGGCAGAGAAAAATGATCTTGTCCAGATTAGCTCCATAAATTGGTGGAAGTTGGTTGACAACTTTTGACTTAAGTTTAGGATTCCTTGCTTTGGCCTACGGGCATGCTGAATTAGGCACGGTCCTGGGGCGTGCACGCCCTCTGGAAAGTTTATGCAATAACAGTACAGGTGTTTGTGATTACACGGGCACTGATAGCACAGGCGTGCTTAATTGAATTTTATACCATATTTTTTATCATTTTCTTTGGCAAAACTCCTGCATTTTTCCTCAGAATCAAGTGAGTTGTATTTCAATGAAGCTTTTAATAAAAACATTATCAATATTACATAAAAACTTAATTTAAAAAATTAAAATAATTAGAAGTTTTAATCAAAGATCATACAATAAAGAAATTAACACTTATCAATTAGCCGTGTGTTTATATATTATAATTTATAATGACATATTTTTTTTAAAAGAAATTATAAGGTAAATTATATTATTTTTGTGATTATATAAAATAAAAATACTTAAACTAAAATTGAAACTATAAATAAATGATTAACTCTCATTTGAAAAATATAATCTGATTACGTAATTACGATGTTTGGTTTATTAAGAGTTAGCCTGTTTATAACATAATACAATTTATAATCGATTTATTTTTTTTTAAAAGAATTTAAGGTAAATATATTATTTTATTTCAATGTATTATATAATAAAATATTAATCTAAAAAATGAACTATAAATAAAAATGATTAAATATTTAATTTGAAAAATATTAATTTAATTGTAATATTTTTATAGATGTAATAAACCAAAGTATAATATAAATACAAATTATCCACTTCTAATACAAAAAATTCCGAACATAGCTTAATGAAACTTGTATCTGTTATCACTGTTGAGTAAAATGTTAGATTACTTTGCTTCACAGCTGTTGTAACTTTATTGCAGCACTAAATCTATTAAAAAAATTAAATATTTTTATATGAGCAGTGCCTGAAAGAGCACATGCATCTCAATATTGAGGAGGATAATAGCAAAATCAGTGGAATTTAACTAACTGGCATAGAGAGAGAGTGGGACTGATATTTGGTAAAGGGATCAATTAAAAGGAGTTTTCTGAGGATCATTAAAGGAGTTTCTGAGGATCATGGAAACAGATATATTATTGCACATAGCAGAAAACATTCACTAGGCAGTTTCTCACAGAAGGTTCAGCTTGAGGAAGGAAAACTCTACAGTTTCTCTGGTAAGTTCCTATTCAGTATTAATTCCTGAAAAAAACCCCAGTTAAACCCCATTTAGCTTGGGTTAATCTTGATTAATGTAACATTCAGCTTTATAAGAAAAGGTTTAATCTTGATTAATGTAACATTCAGCTTGAGTTCAAGTCAAGAATGGAAGTGAGGACGTAGCTGTTGTGTTTAGAAGAGCTAATGGTGACTCATTCATGGTGGTAGAGTTACAGCAATGGATGGATGCTGGTCTTTTCTTAAAGGTGGTATAGTTGCAAACTTTTCATCAGGTCCCGCTGATTTTCTGTTTGAGGTAATTAATAAAGACCATTATATAATCTGTAAATTACTAAAACTTCCTTATCTTAATCAAATGTTTTATATTTTGATAATTTTGGTTTTCCTTATTTTTCAAGAGCAAGGATACAGCTATGGAAATTTGGGTTTACAGTGTCTCATTACAACCTTTTACAATGGAGGAATGGACATCCCACCAAGACCAAAAGTATTCAGAAGGTGATAAAAAATGACATATTTATCAAATACTAAAATGCAATTACAATCTACCAACAATGTGTTAATTGGGGTGGTAAGAGACCTTTATCGTACTTTATTGATGGCCTGAGTATTGTAACTAGGTAACAAAAAATGAGTTACATAGAAAATGTTTAAAAAAGTTTTTTTTTTCAATAGTAATTTTTTTTCGGAAACAAATTATTATTAGTGAAATTTTCCTTGAGACAATCAAAAATGCAATATAATTCATTTCTGAATTCAAATATGCAGGAAAGAAAGAGAAATGTACACTTCCGAATATCACACCCCAACAAAACCATGGAGGGTGCAATAGTATCAATTAAACAAACCAGGTCAAGCTTCCCATTTGGATGTGCCATGAACAACAATGTCATCATTAACATACAGAAATTATCTAAATATATTGGTTTGGTCAAATGAATTGATGATACAACACCACTAATTAAATCAATATGGATCAGCACAGAAAGTGTACAAGTCGAAGAAAATTATGCAGATGCAGATGCATAGTGAATCGTCCACAATGTACAGTATTCGTATCGAGGCCAACATATTTTGGGATTTGCATCCAAGATACCAACCATCATGGGTAAGAATCTTCTCCTTAACCAATTACGAGTATCTGCACAGAAAAAATAAAACTTCGTGTTTCAGAGGCTACAAAAGCGGAAATGAATCGCTTTGGGATATAGAATGTGAGGAATTTACACTTCATGGTTTATGAGCATAAGCTGGCCATAAGATGCTTCTGCTTATGAGTAGCCTTCATCAGCTGATCCTGGAACAAGGGTTTATGAATGGAGTATAATTACTATTGAAGAAAGCGGAGACAGAGTCAATCCTGCAAATTATATTAGGAAATTAAAGGGAATTTTGTCTAATCGCGGAAATAGAGGGATTTTAGCAGGAATTGGTGTGGAAGCACATTTCGGTTCTTATCAACCAAATCTTGCTTACCGTAGAGCTTCATTGGATACTTTAGCTTCTTTAGGACTTCCTATATGGCTCACAGAAGTAGATGTTGCCAGCAGCCCAAATCAGGTACGAATTATTCCAAGTTTTTTTAATAAATAAATAGAAATCGTCACTCTTATCAGTTCTGAATTATTGGATTGGATGCAGGCGAAGTATCTGGATTCTGGAGAAAGTACTAAGGGAAAGCCACTCTCATCCTGCCGTGAAAGGGATTATCATTTGGCCAGGACCAGCAGTAGCAGGTTTTAGTAAAATGACATTGGCAGACATAAATTTCAGGAATACTCCATCAGGATATGTTGTGGATAAGTTGATCAGTGGGTGGAAATTTCAGACAACGGAAATTAAAGCAGACAGTGAAGGATCCTTTGAAGTTTCACTTTTTTATGGAGATTACGACATAACTGTTGACCCACTCACTAATTCCTCCACTTTTTTGAAATTTAAACTCTAAGTAACATGACTAACTCAGATGACACGTGTCCACATTCATCCAACATGACACCAGAGACACTGTCCACATTCAATTCAATGCATAATGATCTCCATCTCCCATTACTCATTGTAAAAGATAAAATTGGCTTGTGCAGTTGCTTTTAAAGCAGCCTTGAAATAAATCAATAGTCCACAATAGCTTTTCCTCAAACTCGTGCAAAGTAGGCACTGTCTTTATCAATTTCTATTCAATTATGTTTTTCTTTCCTGTCAAAACCTTTATGCTGCTCATCTTTCCAACTCTAGTGTCTATTTCTTCTTAAGGTTCAAAGGGAAAAAAAAAAAAAGTTTGAACCGATTCAACTGGAATTGATTTAGCTGAAAAATCAATCCAAATCAACTGGAATAGCATCCATTCAATTTGATTCTCTAGTTAAAATTAAAGTTTGAACCGATTCAAATGCTATAACCTAACCAGATTTTCTGTAAATAAAATCGAACTGAAACCAAAATTAAAAATCACTTTTAGCTAGCCGAACCGACCGAACCGAACCTATTTTTCTTTAAAAAAAAAACAAATGTTGTAATACGACGACGTTTCTTCATCAAAGCCTGCAAAACCTTGTCATCGTTGTAATTAGAAAACCATTGCCAAAAGCACTGAGAGAGAGAAATCGAAGAATCTGAGCATTGTTGGTGAATATATTGATGAGGTTTGGTATTCTTGTCCCCTATGCCACCATTCTGGATGCCTCCGTCCTTTTCGTGTTGCGAAAAATCAATAAAGATTCTAAAAAATATATGGTTTTTGCAGGTAGGGGATGAGCAAGGATGGAAAGTTGAGACGACTTCGGTTGATGCAGGAGTTGGAGGAAAAGAGGGGTTTTTTGGTAGGAGATGAGTGATGGAAAACGACGCCGTGTTTTATGTTTTTTTTTTTTTTCCATCTCGTACTCTTTCCTCTTATTTTCTTTATTGAGCATGAATTTTTCAATTGCCAAAAGAAAAACTAGAACAATAGAATCCAGTAGCTCTCTTATCTCCTCTCTTCTTTTCTCTTTTCTCCACTTGTGTGCTTAAACTCTGACAAAACAAAAGTGAGGTCAAATTTTTAATATTTCTGGATCTTTAAATTGCACTCAATATGTTTGATAAATTGACTTAGTGAGATCTCTAGGAGTTCCTGTGCTAGCTTAGTTATTTGTGAGTTCCTGTGCTAGCTTAGTTATTTGTTTTTATTGTTTTTTAAACTCCTTAAGGATGATAAACTAAACTCTTAAAAAAATAAAAAATAAAAAAAAAAAAGGTGCAGGAAGCATCATTTGTTTGCTCCATCTCAAGGATGATAAATTGCTTCATTACCAAAGTTTTTACTGATGGTTTTAACAATTTTTATAAACATTAATATTGATATCGTCGTTGGATGATTAAGTAGAATTATAACTCAAGGACTTGGGCGCTATGGGATCTTTTTGTCAAATCACAAGGATGCTAGGTTTTGTTTTACTGTTGCGTAGTTCTAAAGAGCCGTGAAGCTTCTTTGATTTGGTGGCCCGATATATTGTCAATGTTCAGTTTTTTGCAAGTACCTTTACTTCAAAAGTCATTTGCGTCATGGTGTCTGATTCACAACTTTTTGTAGCGTCTCCGTCTACTGGTTCAGTATTGGGCCTTTTCTTTCTGTAGGTTGCTGGCATTAATAGAAAATTCAACAAACTGTGGGTTCACTGAATTTGAGAAAGTAGAAGACGAGTGGACTGGAAGGAGACTGATGTGGTTGCGTTGTGCAAAACCCTTTTGCCACTTAGAAGCCATAAGAAAATCTTCAAAATCTCCATGGATCTTTTTGTCTTTGCTCTCTTGTTCGGACACTGCTCACACAAAAGCAAAGTCTGCTCCTTTGCAGGTCGGCTGTTCCATCATTTCTCCTCTATTTCGTGCATTTTTACTTCTCAGACAATTTCAAATAACTCTATAATGTTATAATGTCCATTTTAGTAAAAAGATAAGTGGGCCTTTTGCAGGAAACCAGAATGAGAGACAGGTTTATGCTAAGTGCTAAAGGAGGTGATGGCGGCAATGGTTGCTCAAGTTTTCGTCGTAGTCGGCATGATCGTCGTGGCAAACCTGAATGATCGTCGTGGCAAACCTGATGGTTGGTTTGTGATTTCATTGAATTTTATAATCATCATATAGTAGGTCGGTGTGATATGTTACTTCATCAACCTAGATTTATATGATATTGTATTTTATTTCCATTGATCGTCGGTTTCTTAGTTTCTCCATATCTACACTGTTTATCAAAATCTTCCTTTCAGTGTATGTAATTTATTTCCATTGAACTTCCCATCATTCAGTATAGTTGATTATTTCAAATAATCACAAAAGTACTTGATTTGATTTAAATGTGTGAAGGGGTGTTTATGGTTGTACTCCGGTTCATTTCTGGATTCATTAATTCAGGTGGAAATGGTGGGCGAGGCGGTGATGTGATTTTAGAGTGTTCCCCCACAGTTTGGGACTTCCGTGGTTTGCATCATCACGTAGTATGTAGTCCTTATCTTCCCATATATTTTTCCAACCCTATTCTTGCACTGAAAGAACTAATTGTTACTTGTGTCCTGCAGAATGCGGCAAAAGGGGGTAATGGAGCTTCAAAAAATATGGTAGGAACTCGAGGGGACGATAAGGTAATTATTTTTGAGATGTTATATTAAACTGCATGATTTTGTGAAGCTGTCTGTTGTTTGACACTTTACTTAACAGTGAGTGCACAATTGTTCATTTGAGAGACTCTTTTTTCTACTAGGTTGTCCAAGTACCTGTTGGCACTGTAATTCATCTTTTAAAGGGTGAACTTCCATCTATAGTTCAAAACTGTTCTGATAAAGACTTGGATCCCTGGGAACTTCCAGGCACTCTTCATGCTGATCAATCAGAATCCTACAAGGAGTCTTTCTTCAAGAGTGCGGACATAGAAGAGAAAGTTGTGTCATCGGATAAGACTGGTGCTTCATCAATTGAAGGTAAAAGAACCGTAGAGCAACTGGCAAGCAAACAAGCTAGTCAAGCAGAATCAGCAGCAATGGAAAACATGCAATATAACATGCAATTTCAATGTTGCAGAAGTTAACAAAATCAGTGTCAGCAATGACTTGTTGCTCATGGAGGTTGAAGGTGGTTTAGTAGATGGCATCTTCTCCATGTTTTCTGAAGAGAGGCTATAGTTTAGTAAGCCTGGATGCCAATAATATAGAGCACTGTAACCTGAAATGCCAGTGAGGATCAGTTCCTGCCCTCAGCCTTGCGGTTTGCTGGCTCCTGAGGCAATTTCTTAGTATTGGAACTGAAATAGCTATTGCTTTCTAGTATTGGAACTGAAAAGCATTGCTGATGTAGGCCTTGTTGGGATGCCAAATGCAGGTAAAAGCACTCTTTTGGGAGCTCTATCTAGGGCAAAGCCTAGGGTAGGCCATTATGCTTTCACGACTCTTAGGCCGAATTTAGGGAAATTGAAGTTTGATGACCTCTCAATGACAGTGGCTGACATTCCAGGACTCATAAGGGGTGCTCATGAAAATCGTGGACTCGGACATGCTTTCTTACGACACATAGAACGTACTAAGGTTTTGGCTTATGTAGTAGACTTGGTTGCTGGATTAGAAGGTAGAAAAGGATTTCCACCATGGGAACAATTAAAAGATTTGGTCTTAGAGCTTGAACACCATCAAGACGGCCTTTCCGACCGGCCTTCATTAGTAGTGGCAAATAAAATTGAATTGACGAGGAAGGGGCTGAAGAAGTGTATGAAGAATTGAAAGAAAGAGTGCAAGGTGTTCCTATATATCCTGTATGCGCCGTCTTGGAAGAAGGGGTACCGGAACTGAAAGCTGGTCTTAGGATGCTTATGGATGATGGAAAATTAAAGGGACTCAGTTTAGATAAAATTGATTGCTCGTGATAAATTTGATAGAAATACTAAAAAATGTGTTTTTATGATTGTGAAGTTGGAAGAAAATTTATGGCTAGCATGTTAGTTTCAATTTTGAAATTCACATGGTTATCTTCAAAAGTGATATAAGAGAGTAATGAATCACTGATATTTGTCTCCCTCAACATATTAGATAGGAAATTAGCAAATGTAGGAAATTAGCAAATGATAAAGTTTTCCTTAATTTCTGTCTTTTTAGTTTTCTTTTTTTCAAGCCAGTTTAGAAAAACTTGGCGATTTGTAGAAGCTATTATGCAGACAGAAGTCCCTGTAAGGAACTTTACCGCTAGTAATTTTGAAAACTTGGATTCTTTTGAGCCTTTAGGACTCAGGTCTCGGCTAAGCGTGTTAGTCACAATGTAAAGCCTTAGGACTCAGGTCTCGGGCTCAGCTGTAGTCACCAATGTAAGGCCTCACAACTGGGAACGGAAGTGAGGCTAATACCCATTCCGCTTAAATATTTCGATATTCATATTCACCACAAACCGTTAAAAATTCCTTTTGAAATATGCATACTCACAACCACACCTGCCCATTTGACTATTACCCAAACTCTCTTTAAATGGTTGGGAGTGAGTAGAATATTCATGAAAATCCACTATGCTTATATGTGTAATATCTCATCAAGTTTATTATATTGAAGTTGGTCGAGCCTTGGAAGATGGAGATGAGATTAAAGGTTGGGACTAGAAAAGGAAAAGTATAAATGAAGAACAATTCTAAAACTTTAGTCGTTTAATATTTTATTTAAGTAATTAATTCTATAGTAGTTGATGATATTGGAGTTTGGAACTTTGAACATGGGTCTAATTGATTTTAGTTTTAATAAAATGTTAAGTCGAACGTGCACTCAAATTTTCACTTCAATTTTATTATATTAAAATTTTCAAATTATATAATGGATTTTAATGGTTAGAGGGTACCTGAATATTTAAACCACGATAGTAGTTGATTTGATATTCATACTCATCCGACACTCATTTAATCAATATCCATTTTAAATGAGTTTTTATAGGTCAGGTATCCACAAAATCCCACCCCGCTTGCATCCCTACTCACAATCTAATATCCAATTAATATAATTAACTTTGTAAATTAAGCAAAGTCCATACATTATGACATTATACAGGCCCTTGAAAGCTCCATAACTCCAAGATTAACTTTGTAAATTAAGCAAATTCCATACATTGTGACATTATATAGGTCCTTGAAAGCTCCATAACTCAAAGAAAAGGAGAAAAAGAAAAAAGATTTTGAAATAATCTAAGTCAACTGATTCATCAAATTGTAACACAGATGATTCTGTGAATCTTGAAGCCAGCTTGAACTTGCTTCAGATATCTTTTTCTTTAATTAGTTCATCTCCTCTTTTCTGACATGAATTAATATATATGGTAAACTTTCTACTATATATTTATCCTGTTTTGTGTGTCTTGGGTAGAATAAAATATATAATAATAAATATATAAACAGACGAATCTCCATTAGAAATTAAATGAATCCCTTTTGCATATCCTTGCTTTGATTTATGTATCTAGCAATTGGAATCTGTATATATGGTATGTATATAATCTTTTCACAGCCAACTTGCTGCTTCGGGTTGCTGCGTCCAACCATATCTATTAATTTTTTAGTAATATATATGAATACACAATAATAATATTTATTATTATTATTCATCCATTAAAAATTCACTTTATTATTATTCTTTACCGAATAAGTAATTGAGGTTTTGTCTTAAAAATAATCCATTAAAATTTATTTTATTATTCATTCCAAAAAAAAATTATTTTATTATTTTACATGAAGTTTATATATTATTAGGGATAACTAGTTCACTAAACCAGCCCTTTCAATCCAGAAAATTAAGAATTCAAATCAAGATTAGACCTTCAAGAACCCATTCGAGTGCCTTTATTTTTTTATTTTTCTTTTTATTTTTTCAAAATCACAATTTTAATTTTTGTAAAATAATTATCTTATTTCTATTTATTTTATTTTGTTTGCGCATTTATTTTTATATCTAAGCCGAAAACAATATTCGGAAAAATTCTTTCTAATAATGGTAACTTCAAGTTTCAAACTCTAAATTTATAAATAAAATTCACTCGAAAATGCAGTTCACTTCAACTGATGTAATCGGCGATTATATTTTTATATAATTTGACAAATTAAATTAAAGCAAAAATGATAACCAGTGACGTTAACGAAACCCTGCTATAGAATCCATTGTGTGACGTTAACGAACCCTGCTATAGAATCCATTTGTATTAAGTTAAAAAAAAAAAAAAAAAAGGATGTGGTCATGTATTCAATTTTTTAAAACTAAGCCAACAATAATTTGACAATAATTCACCAATTATAATATTAGTTTAGTGGAAATAGAATAATAATATTTAGAATCGATGTTTTTCTTGCATAGAACTTCTGTTTTCTTTTAATATTCTGCATAAGTTTGATACCATAACCAAATGCAAACACCCAAACAAGTTGTCATGACGTAAGATATGACTCTATCATTGAGGAAGGATATATATAATATATATATATAGAATATATATATATATACTATATATAATAATATATATATATCAAATTAATGTGGGCATGATGTATTAAAAATTATAGGTAAAAATCCTAATTTGTGGACTCATTTGAGCACTTTTTTTTTTTAAATATATATATATATATATATATATTATTTATATATATAATATTATCCTAAATGTATATCCTAAATGTTATTCGTGTTGGGTCTCCTAATGAACTAAAAAAAATTGACTTTGAATTTTTTATTTTTTGAAGAGAACTTTGAATTTAATCATTTGTCTAAGAAGTTACTATAGCAAGCTTCCAAGTTGAGTTAAATCTCATTATAGGAGTTACCCAGATGTAAGAATATATAGAAACCATTAACTGAGAATATTTTTATACACACAGAGAATAGTCAGTCTCAGCCTGCGTATCTCATCTTTACACCACAAGTAGTCTTTTGAATAGCATTTTGTGGAATTAGTGCACTTTTAGATATAATCATATTCTAATTACCTTGTTTATGCGCATACTAATCGCCACGTCGCTCGCGCACTGATTAAAATTAAGAGAAAATTAAGTTGAAAAAAAATTAACAAAATATTCTAATCTATATGATTAATCTTTCCAAGACTAGTTAAGCAAGTAACTTTCAATTGCTAATTAATTAAGGGTTTTTATAATTTTTAATTGTATAAATATACTTGATTAATGTATAGTTAATTGTTGGTTGAATCTGTATCATGTTTTAGAAAAAATGGAAAGCTTTTTAATTAGTGGAGTGGAGGTGGCTATTTGCCACATTCAATTAAATTAAATATAATCAATTTGCTCAATTTTTTTTTTTTTATTTCTTTAATGATCTTGATGTTTACTTGCCATCATTAAACAATTGAAGCTTATGGTGGTCTTCCTCTTTCATTTGATTCCTTTGAATGTGAGATTATTTCTTTTTAATTCTTTTGAAGACTAATGGAAATTGGTCTCTAATTCTGCGAACAAATAATTAACCATTGGATTAGGTGAAAGAAAAGTGAAGATTGTTAATTAATTTATTAATTACAGCTTTTCATTATTGAATCCGACCACCTATTTATTTAGTTATTTTATCAGCTGTTGACCAGCTAATAAGGTATTCTATTTTAGTTAGTAATAGAAGTAAAAGAGACGATATTCAGAATATTATTATTGGATGTAACGTGTCCTCTAATGGGATGTGATACAAATATTTATAGTACGTTTCATATTTTAACTGAAGAGATAAATGTCGAGCATGAATTTCAATTATAAATGTCGAACAAGAATCTTGAGCATTAATTACATGATTGAATGAATCATTGACTGACCGTTACTCTGTTTAAATCAATTTAAATAACTCTCAATCAATTCTTAATAATTATTCATATCAGTTAGTATGTTTGAAAATCTAAATCAGATTGCTTGGTTTAGATTTTGGACAGCCCTAATATTAATAGAGATAAGAATGATTAAATTGGGGGGCCCCCTAAAATATTAATTAGAGATAAGAATGATTAAATTTTTTGAGATTGCCTACGTTTTTTTGGGTTTTCCTCGTGAAGGGGGGGGGGGGGGGGGGGGTGGTTGTGGTGAATACAAACAAATGGTATTTATCGTTAGAGTTCAATTGTACCGAGTTGATGTGATGGCATTGTTTGGTTTTCAAGCTTGTAATGCCCTATTGGCTGAATCAGAGGCATTGTTTATGCATTTTGGATTGATTGGGATCGTGTGTTGAGAGTGAAAAACTTAGTAGAGAGATGCAGGGCTACGTTAAAATAGGAAATGACAACTTTCAGCGCTTAAGATTGATTGAGACCATTAACAAAAATAACATGGTTGAATATTAACTTATTGGTTAGTTAGATATATATACGTGGAGACTCGATCGAGCAAGGGAGGGAACTTATTGGTTAGTTAGATATATATACGTGGAGACTCGATCGAGCAAGGGAGGGACCATTAACATAAACACTATATTTCAGATTCCCTGCATCTTGCGTCAGAACCCAAAAGATGATTTAAACAAATTAAATAAGATAATCACAGGTTAGTTCAAGCTGTTAACCTCAAGTATTTAACCAAGGTTAGCAACTCATGGTTTAAAAGCAGTTGGTAGTTGGCATCTGTACTTAATCAATGAACTTAGCATAAAAGGTCAGATTAGACTAAGAATAGTTTGATTTCATACTTAAAATAGTTTCATAAAATAAGCTAAGAAAGACAACTTGCATTTTCTTTTTTTTTTTTTTTCCTCAATATAATTTATGTTAGACTAAAATTATAAATCATGTGGAATCTTACGACAAAGCATATACAATTAGCATTAAAACATTAAATACAAAAGTAATTATCAATCTTTAATCAAATTAAAAAAAAAAAATCCTTTCAAAGAGATACTGTAGTTTTCAAATTTCCCTTCAAAAATATTTTTTTTACAAAAAGTATTTCAAAATTTTTTTCAACTTTTACTTTTCTTTGCATCGATATAATTTTATCAAAGTGAATATTGGAATTCATATAACATGCCCCAACTAATTTAATACTAAAACTTAATTATATCCTGAACATTTTGATTCTCCAAGTCACACTAAGGTTGTGTTCCCCAACAGTTTTTTAATTAGATTTTAGCGTTTTGACCTAAACGCTATTTTTTATAGTGCCTATTAATAGTTAATTTTAACAAAAATGAAATTTAGGATTTAAATTTTGGCGTCTCCTCCATTATAAGTTTATAACACACAATTAATCACTGGAGAATTGCGAACTGCTTAAACCTAATTAAGTAATTATTGACACTGTAGGCGAAGAATCTTCACCCACGCGATCATTATAAAAAGAGCGGAAGCTGCAAGAAACAAGAGCTATAGCATAAGGAGAAAAGAGAAGACTCTTTGTTTCTGTGTATTGCTTGTTTCTTCTTTGACTCAGAGATTTTTATATTACCATTAGAGGAACGTAAAAATATAGATAAAAAGTGCACACAGCATATCTGAAGAATCTTCCCTAAGCGGGTGAGTCAATTACTTTCATTTCTTGCTTTAATTCTCTTCTCTCTGCTCTATATATTTATTGCCTTGTTATGTTAGATTTTTCACTCACTAGCCTATATTACATTACATGTCTTTTTTTTATGGGTTTGATCTTATTTGAAATCGTCTTTTCTGTTCTCAGGCTGTAGCATTATATATATATGCTTATCTACCAATTCCTTCTGTTAATATCTGTTATTTCCTTGGCTTATGTACTTGTTGTTGATTTGTCATTCTTTTAAGCTTAATCATTCAAAAACATTCACCAACCAGTTTTATAATTTTTACCTGAATTGTGTTCATCTGAATCTATTCAACATAGGACAGTTTAGATCATATTTAAAAAGAACTCGGACGGGATTGTGGATTGTGAATTATGGCTTATCTAATTGCCAAATCAGAAAAATGGACAATTGAACAATAATATTTTTTTCGCATACTACTGTCTATTCAATCTGTTAAGTTGACATATAAAAAAAATGTAGATACTGCGAACCACACTCTCTACTTTCAGAAGATCTGTTAGACAGTGTAACTCAACTATTTAATTCTTTTTTTTAGTGACTCAGCCATTTAATTCTTTTTTTACTATTAATTTATTTTCTTTTTCCACCATCTTCTCTCACGCTAAAACTTCACATGCTTAACTTATTTTCTTTTATTTTAATTAGTATAATTTTAAAAAAATAATATACATCATCGTAAAATCTTATTCTGATTATGATACATTAGAAAGCCATTTTTCAAATTCAATATTTACAAATAGACTTATAGCTTAACATATTCTATTTATTATGCCATATAAGCCACAACCCACAATCATATTGGAGTTGCTCTAAGGATGGGATGCAATTATGCCTGCTCCGTCCCATATCCATCTGAATCCAATCCAAATAAGTCATTTAAAGATGGGCAGGTTTTAAAAATAAAACTCAACTCGAATTTTCTAACCCGTTCGGTTTTTTTTTTTTTTTTTTGAAAACTTAGCCAATATTTTCTATTTTTTGTTGTTGAAATTTATTTTTAGTTTTTTTTAAAGATTTTTGTTAATTTTATTTTAGATTAAATGGATTTAGATTCGTTATTGAATAAGCAGTCTGAATCCGTCCGTTTTTAATTTAGTTTGATTAGTCAAATGATGGATGAGTTAAGGAGTGTTCATCCACCTTATAAATTGTTTAAATGAATTTAAAAATTAGTAGTTTGATTTGATTTAGAAAATATAATTTGTTCATTTTATAGTTTAAAAGTAATGTTTTTACATTTACCTTTTTTCCATTTGGTAAGTTATGTTTAATTAATTTCTCACTTTATTCAAAAAATTTAACTTAAAATTTTGTGTATATTTAGCACATATTAATATATGAATAATTGTTTTCTTATTCATAAAAGATTATTAACAGAGCAATGTTTCGTTATTTTCTTTTTATAAAAATGAATAGCTGAATACTTTACAAACAGCGCGAACTAAATTAAATTCATATAAAATAATTCAAATTATATCTGCAAGTACAATTCGATTCGATTTGAGTCTTCTTTATGGTTTGGTTCAGGTTTAAAGTTTTATAGATATCATTATTAATTTGGTTTGGTTAAATTTTTTAAATTGAATCAAACCAAATCATGAATAACTTTTAAATGGATTTGGGTATAGATAATTCAAATTAATGGAAACTCAACCTATTTCTACCCCAGACGAGAACCATTTGTAATTTATGAGAATCACTTTAGATCAAAAATTTTTTTTAGTAGTCTTAAGATGTTTCGAAATCATGAGTGCAGGAGTGCAATCCCAATGGGAGCTCACTAGTATTGTCTAGATTGAGTTCAAACTCAAAATAATTTTTTTTGAAAAATCAAAAGTATCCAGCTTTGTTTCAATTTTTAACTTCAATCTATACCTGAAATTCACGCCAAAATTGCAAATTGATTTAAAAAAATGTTACCAGAGCCCAAAAATAAAGAAACAAAAAGAACCCAATTGCGGTAAAGACATGGAAATGTGAGCCCAAAAATAAAGAAACAAAAAGAACCCAATTGATCTTTTCACATTTAAGTTATGGGTTTTGGATAATATTTAAGTAAAATTCTCTTAATAATTACACTTTTAGATTTCGAACATCAGATCTTAGGAGTAAAGTCTGTCCGAGAACAAAATTCATTTCCATGCATCCAAGTGCCTATTAGTAGTTAATTTTAACAAAAATGGTAGTTAGAATTTAAATTTTGGCAGGTTTCTGCCTCTGAAATGAATTTGTGATTGCAGTTTCTCAAGACAAATTTTAATTGACGATGTTTCAGCAACTTGACCATTTGGGATCCTTCGATATCAGCAATAGATATCAGCAATACCAATTCTTCCTGGAAGTTCCTCTTTTTGTTTTTCATCTTCACTGTTCTAAGGTCTTCTGGTTCATGACAATCTTTTCAATTTGGACTTGACAGGTTGAATGGATAGGGGTGCTTCTGCACTAATTAATTCTACGTTCTCGAGCACTTCCATGGATTTAGATTTTATAGATAAACCTTTTGCTCATGGATCTTGGCTGCGGACCACTGATAAGGTCAATTTCTTGGAGTCAGATCCCTTCATTTCTAGCGTTCAATATTTGTAGCGTTCAATATTTGGACTCATATCATCAGTTTTCTCGAAAAGAAATGGAAAACCTGTTTGACAACCCAACTCCAGTTTATTCTGGAATTGGGAAATGTGTTGTTGAGACTGACACATGTTTAGTACAATCTCAAGGTGAAGAATCCCGCACAAGAAAATTTTTGATAGAACCATATTGTTCTGTCAAAGATAGATTAACGTTAGCTATTGACTACTTGAAAGAATATGTGGAACATAGAGATGTGCTTATTCAAATATGGGTGCCTACAAAAATAGCAGGTCAAAATGTGCTTACTGCTACTGACCTGCCTTATTCTCTTAATCCGAGTTGCTGGAGTTTGGAAAGTTACAGAAATATTTCGAAAGCATTTCATCTCACAGCTGAGGACTCAAAAGAGTCAGCTGGGTTGCCTGGACGAGTTTCCTGGAAAAGTTTCCTGAATGGACTCCTGATGTTAGATTCTTCAGGAATGATGAATGTCCGCGAAAATATTGTGCTCAGTTGTATAATATTAGTGGGTGTCTTGCATTTGTATAATATTAGTGGGTGTCTTGCATTGCCGGTTTTCGAACAAGAAAGTGGAACTTGCTTGGCTGTTGTTGAGATTGTAACGACAACTCAGAAGATCAATTATCATTTAGAACTAGAAATTGTCTGTAAAGCTCTTGAGGTCTGTTTTATTTTTTTCTTTTCTTTTCCCTTTCCCTTTCTTTTCTTTTATGTATATATAAATATATATGGGCTGACAAAATGATACTTGTTATTTTGCAGGCTGTCGATCTAAAGAGTTCGCAAGATTTCTTTCCTTTTTGTATAAAGGTAATTTGACATTATAAAATTAATTGAAATTTATGGTTTTGTTAATGATAGAACAGCATTAATAAATATGCTTTATTTTCAACAGACTTGCAATGAATTCTACCAAATTGCAATTCCAGAAATATCAAAGATTTTAAAATCTGTCTGTGAGACTAATAATTTGCCTTTAGCTTTGACCTTTAGCTTTGACATGGGCATTATGTAACCGCCAAGGCAAAAAATGAATACAAAGCAGGTTTCAGGGGAAGTATGATATTATATAATCAACTGTCGATTCTGCTTTGCTTACATAGGCCTTGATAGTTTGATCTGTTTTGGATTCTAATAAAGGCATTGCCTCCACGCAATTAACTTATTTCTTGATCAAGGGATAGTAGGGGAAAAGCACTCACAAGAAAACAAGCAATTGTTTGCTACTTGCATGTTAACCTCCTTTAGGCAAAACAAAGTTAATCCTCTCTCTCACCATGCCAGGATGTTTAATTTGCGTGCTGCATTTGGCCAATTTCCTCTTGCAAACATACTACACCGGTTCGATGGGGAATTTGATCTTAGAATTATTCTTGCCAAGAAGATTGCCAAGATATTGAAGAGCAAAAGCATATGTGGGATTTCTTGCCCTATTTGGATACAAACATTCTTGCAGGAATTTCCATGTTATTATGGACAAAGAAAAAGGAAAATTTTGCTTTTGTTTCATGGGGGAATGTTTTTATTTCTGGATTTTTTATCTGAAGAGAGCCTGAAGAAGAGCCGCTTCAATGTTATAAGTCATTGGGATAATAATGAATCAGAGTTTCGGAGTTTGAACAACTTTTTCAAGAGAAAGTTCTGCACTTAAATTTGGTGTTAACTGATGAGAGTAAAGAAATTCTTCGTTGGTAGTTAGATTTTCTCATTGAGCAAAAACTTAAGAGCAGGTGAGAAGAACAGGGACTAAAGGCAGAAAAGACAATCAGTTTGCAAATTCTTCGACAATATTTCGCTGGAAGCTAGATTTCTCATTGAGCAAAAACTTAAGAGCAGGTGAGAAGAGACAGACTAAGGCAGAAAAGACAATCAGTTTGCAAATTCTTCGACAATATTTCGCTGGAAGCCTTAAAGATGCTGCTAAAAGCATTGGAGGTAAAAAAATGCAAAAACTACTTTGAGCCTCATTTAAAAATAAGCACTTAACCAATCTAACTTCTTTTTTTTCATTTTTATCAATTGCAGTTTGCCCCACTACACTGAAAAGGATATGCAGGCAACATGGAATCAATCGTTGGCCTTCTCGAAAAATCAAGAAAGTTAATCACTCTTTGAAGAAACTTCAACTAGTAGTCAACTCTATCCGCGGGGCGGAGGGTCTAATACGGATTGATTCCTTCTATAATACCTTTCCTGGATTGAACTCACAAGGAAATGATCATTTTCCATCATTCAAGACAAATAACAATTCCCAGAAACTAAACTCACAACCTGACAGTGGCCTACTCAGCCTCAAAGTTGCTGATTCGAATTCTCAGTCCCCTTCAGGCAGTCAAAATTCTGGTTCAAGCATTTGCTGTTCCACTAAAGCAAAGCAGCTTACTTCCACCACCACTAATGGCTTGAACACTGCATTTTCTTTAGCAGTAGAAGTTCCTGTTGTAACGCTGAACAGAAGTTGCAGCAAAGCAGAATTGCTTTCACCAAATCATGACAAAATCCAAGAAACAATACCAAAAGTCACTGGTCAAAGTTTTCGAGACGGAATGATATTCAGAGTGAAAGCAACATTTGGTTTAGAAAATATAAGATTCAGCTTTCAACCGAACTGGGCTTTCAAGGACTTGCAGCAGGAGATCGCTAAGCGTTTCAAAATATATGATTTCAGCAAAATTGACCTGAAGTATTTAGACATTGACCAAGAATCAGTTCTTTTGACCTGTGATGATGATCTTGATGAATGTCTAGACTTGCTTAGATTCTCTCAAACCAACACCCTCAAAATATCTCTTTATCAATCTTCTCAACCAAAAATATAGAAATGCTGCCTGAAGTTTATTTAGCAGCACAGGCCTATTGTAACTGTAATTCCATGTTCAGTAATGTGTTTAAGCTTACAGTAGTTATAAAGTGGTCAACTGTAACTGGAAAATCAACAGTTGTTCATCTTATTTATGTGGTCAATTGCTATTTATAGGGAAAATGAAGATTGGAAGGGATTTGCTGAAATGATTGGACCAAAATAAGCATTTTGGCTGCTGATAAAAAATGTATTGTATATCTATGTTACTGTAAGTTTTTGCGACTGGGTTTTCAACTCAGTCGCAGCTAAAAAGATCTACTACTTCTTAACATTAGTACGGGCACCGACCTTGCTAGGTGCCATGGCGGGTTACCATGCCTGTATAAACTAGTTATGTACAGAGCATAATAGAAATAAAAGATTCGTATAATTGACTGCAACTACTTTAGAATTAAGACTCGTTTACTTATTTTAAAACATCCATGGTAGGTCAGTCACATTATGAGAGTCAACAAGTATATAATTCATGAAGAAACAACTCTACAATATATTCTCAAAAAAAAAAAAAAATCTACAATATACATTGGCAACTTAGAAAAAATGGCATATAACTTGTTTATAAATCAAGGTACTTCGAAAATTGTAAAAAAAAAAATAAAAAATAAAAGAAAAGAAAAAAGATTGAAATGAACAAGAATACAATTGCTGCTACAGCTGAAAATCTGAATTGATCACCTTCTTCTCACAGCAAGAAAACATGACAGAGTTGCCATTATAATCGCCACAGCAATGGAACTCACATCATCAAAAATGGCTGCAAATCTCATTTCTTGAAGATCCCAAAGAGTTGAAATGCATAGACACACTCCTTCAAACACTACTACAAATATTGCCATAGCTACTAGCTATCTCCTATAATACTTTAATACAGAGAATAAAAAAAAATATAGAATGTTAGGTCCCAAAAAAGAAATAAAAAGTTCAAAGCCCAAAAAATGCCAAAAAAGCATATGATATAGAGTTAAGTTGTATCGACTATTTTAGCATAAATTCCAAAAAACAGGTGTAATTGTAATTATTTGATTACAATTATATTCCTTCTGCTCTATAAAGATAACTCTAATTTCCTTTTTCATTTATCCAAAATGATAGGTCATTTTTCTTTTTGAAAGTACAATTATTTTTTAATTATCTAATGTGCCTCTAACATGTATTGTTATCTACAATTTTTTCATTCAGCTCTTTATTGGAAGCCATATAATATTAATTAATATAAAGGTAAATAAGAAAAAATGTTACCTATTTTTTTATCTTTATCAAATTAGAAACATATTTATTTTAACTATTTTTTCTTAGTATGTATGAAATTTAAAATATATTTATTTTTATGTGACATGCTTTCGATGGTTATCTGCTTTGCATATGGCCACCCAACATTTACCGTAGGCACGATAACTAGTACATCAAGGTGCATTCTTCTGGGCCATCTAGTATTAGAAAAAAGTCCTGTCAATGCTCCAACGCTCACACCGAATATGGACCGAACTATCTCACGACCTTCTAGGTAAGATAAAGATTTATGGTCAAATTTAATTTGGAGATAAGAGATGGGGTAAAAAAATAGTAGACAGAATAGGTTATATTTCATTTCAATTTTAGCTACATGCAAGAGTTGATTGGAACTTTAATAATTGTCTTGCCCAAATGAACAAATGCAATTTCGAGGATGCTTCTATGAAATTTCTTGAAAATGCAAGTACAGGGACTATGGTGGGTGGTTGGTTGTCGCTAATTGGCATTTGTATTGTGGTGTGACTGACATATGGGACATTTAATATAATGTCTATTTTTAAAATTAAGAGACATTCGTGAAAACATTTTTCACATGGTTGTTAGTTGTCAGGTTTATCCTCCGAATAATGGCAGGATTCAAAATTATTTTGAAAAGTAATGTGTTTTTCTAAAACTATTTACTATAATAATATGGGAAATTAAAAAAAAAAAAAAAGTTAGAGAATACTTAATAAATCACCAGACTTGAGAAATTCTATTAGATTTCTTAAACCTTTCTCCCTTTTTTATTTTTAAATTAAAAATAAAAAAATGCTCAACCTTTCTCTATATTGCTATTTTTTTTATTCTTCGTTTTCTGCGTGGGTATATATATGCTCAACCTTTTCTCTATATTGCTATTTTTTTATTCTTTCCGTTTCTGCGTGGGTAATATATATATATATATATATATATATATATATATATTTATTTCAAATAATTGTTTTTGTTGGATTATATAAATATTTTTTTATTATAATTTCACACTAACTATATATATATTTCAAATAATTGTTTTTGTTGGATTATATTAAATATTTTTTTATTTATAATTTCACACTAACTTTAGGTGATGTTTGGTTACTTTACTATAAAAAATTACTTTACTAGAAAAGTAGAATTCTAGAAAAGGATTATAAGAAAGTTAATTATATGTTTACATGACAATAAAACTTTTTAGGAAAATAGCATAATTGTGACAATAAATTATAAAGTTTAAATCTCTTATTTTATACAAGAATTTAATCTTTTTCCTATCTAGGTTGTGTTCAGCAATAACTTTGTAAGTATAGTATTTGGTAACATAAGGTTTGAACTAACTTTTGGAGGTTAAGGTAACATTTTATAAAAAAATAACTCATATAAAATTTAGCTTTTAGAATTTTATGAAAAGTTATTAAAACAGTTAACAACTAAATATTATTAAAACCGCTAATAGCTAACTTTGCCGAACATACTCTTAATTTAATTTTTTAGGAAAAGTAGTAATCAAATATTGGAATCCAACTCTTCCAATCCATTTTCCATGAGATTTCAGCAACTAAACGCCTTATTAATGTGAAAATATTATTTTTAAAATAAAAATGCCATTTGTTTAAAATAAAATAAAATATTATTAATATGAAAATATTATTTTCCAATCCATTTGCCATTTGCCAAACTTATATATAATTAAGATGCTGCCACTTTCAGACTATTGTTATTGCCTAAACAGAAAATGGTAGGGTCTGAATCTCTTCCATCTGCCATGTTAAAATCCATGAAACAAAATATAAGACACTTCTTTTAAATCTGAAAATAATCAAATTAAAAATCAAAAATTAAATTTCTTTTCATCGAAATAATAAAAATGAGTAGTCTAATTCAATTATTTGATTATAGTCAAACAGTGCCCATCCCTAAATCATACAAAATAATTTGTAAAAAGAGTTCCAACCTAGCAAGTATGGCAAGACATACTGCATAAAAATGGTTAATAGAGTGGAGATGACTCTCTTTGGTTGAGGGATTTGCGGAAAAATTATACAGTACAACTGTGATTCCATGTAGAATGTCATACATGTAATGACAAACCAATAGTGAATAAATAAATACGCGTAAACGAGTCTCATAATTTATATTGTTTTTTCTTTATGTAACAGTTAGTTTTCTAAATTTCAAAAACTGTATTTATGCAATTATTTGGCAGTTATTTTTTTAATTAGATCCTAAAATTGCAAATCATTCTATGTAAACATCTTACATGGAATTTTAATTGGATCATATAATTACAAACCATTCGATGTAAATATTTTATATGAATCACAGTTTCACGGTATAATAACTCGGATTTAAGTTCATCATCCTACAGTTTGCCCCGAAGGATAATAGTATTTAAAAAAAAAAAAAAAAGACGCATGATTCCTCGAATAAAAGTTACGATACAGTACATGGAGCATTGAGAGGGATTGCTTACTCAAGATTCTATTTTCAGTCTGATTGTTGTTCTTTATTTACTCTAAAAAAAATTGACTCCCTTCGATATTTTTTTTTATATAGACAAAATTTCCATTTTGATTGTTTCATTTAAATAGACAAAATTATTCAATTTTTTAGCCAAATAGCAAATTCTATCATTATGGTTTCGATTCATTCTGTAGCCAAAGTACATGGTCTAAATTTTCCTTCATTTGCTTTGTTAACAACACCAAAGAAAGTGACAAACAAAATTCAAATACTGCATTAAATATGATTGAATTATCAATGCAACTGTATTATCTTTCTCTCTCTAGTTTCAGCCAAATTACATGTAGTTTTCAGGTTTTGTACTTTATTTATTGTTACACCATCTGCATTTAAATCTTCTAATTGTGACACACTTTTGTTATATAGCTATATATTTTTCGCTATCATATCATCATATTTAAGTAAAATAAAAAATGCGTGAATAATTGTAATTTATATTTCATTAATTAAAAATAAAAAAGTTATTATGTGTCTAGTTTAACGTTATATCAACGCGTTTTATTATAAACTACTCGTGTGAAAAAATTGACTAAAAAAAACAGCATATGTTATATAAGTGGAGCATTAAGGATTTTGCTGCAAAAAAATTGCGTATTTTTATGGAATGTGCAAATTATATGAAATTGCACCATACTTTCGTTATGAAATATGCACATTTTTAATGGGAGGACAAAAGTTTTTCATTTGATTAGGCCGTTAAGTTGACATTAATCAACAGAAAATTGGGTTCGATTCCTCTGTAATATGTTCTTTAAATGTGCTTATTAAAATAAGTTGGTGTGAGATATTGGACTTTCTCTATGAACACTCAATTAATGCAATGCTAGGGCAAAATATGAAAATTTTTCCAAAAAAATTCAGCTAAATTAATTCCTTAATTTATGTACAAAGTTAGCTGTGTCTATATAAAGAATAGAAGGCAGTAATAAATCTTGCTCTGGTAATGACGTCAACCTATATTATAAGATTGCTCATTTTGTGATAAATAGAAAATAAAACTCATTAAAAATATATAATATAAAATTCTGATATAACACGATCTATTATTAACAAACCATGTAGTATAGTAATATTATCGTGCAATTTATCATTATTAAATTTATTTTGAAACCATATAATTGATTGCTCCGTTTTGAAATCTACTAGTTCTTTATATGACGTGCATTACACGTTGATTATGTTTGTTATATATTTATTTTTTTTATCTATATAATATCAAAGCATAAGTTTTGTTTAAATTAAAATAAACTATTTGCACTGTTACTTCTTATGTACTTAATTCTATTTTTATATAATGAAGTAGTTTCAGAAAAAAAGTTCAATACAATCCTTAGACCTAATCATTTAATCCCTAAATCAAGCCATCATTCAATGTTCAACCCCTGCCCTTAACCCCAAATCAATATCTATATACAACTATAATAAAAAAATAATAATAACTTATTTTGTACTGCTAGGTAAAAGAAAAGAAATAAGAAGATAATATGAATTTGATAATGGAAATCACTTTGGCTACAGTCATAATATTACTTATCCAGTGTATCAGAGAAAGTAATATAAGTACATGCACATAAAATCTTGAAACACCAAAAGGTGACCGGAATAGAAATATATATTTCTAGTTTTTTTCCAATTTCTTAAAACACTATTTTCTTTTAAGTCAAATAGATTTAGAATAGAAGAAAAAAATAATAATAAAATTTAAAATACTTAATCATCAATATATCATCTATTTATTGCAAGTGAAATATAAATCTCTTACTAAATTAAAATGATAGTAGTTATAAATTATTCAGTAACGAAAAAGAAAATAAAAATTATTGCAAGTGAAAATATAAATCTCTTACTATAAATCTCTTACTAAATTAAAATGATAGTAGTTATAAATTATTCAGTAACGAAAAAGAAAATAAAAAATTATTATTAAAAATAAAACTCTTTCAGAACTCACCTAACAAAAAAAAAAAAAAAGTTTCAACGTATATAGATATATGAATATATCAATAAAATGATATATATTTTTGAATTAAAATTTTCAACTGTTTATCATCTCAGGTTTAATTATGTAAATTTTGTTTCAAAATTTACTTTATAAAAAATATATCCAATCAAATCTTACAAATATAAAGAAAAAATATTAATAAAGTAATATACTCTTTTATTTTTATCTCTCTCCTAAATAAAATATTATATATTCGATTTGAAAATTTATTTTTTTAAAAAAATATATCAAATCAAATCACACAAAGGAAAAAAAGAATATTGATAAAAGAATATATTTTCTTTCTTTTTTTATCTATATCCTAAAAGAATTAAATATTTAATAAATAAAATAAATATTTAATAAATAAAATATAAAACAATTTTCCAATGTGTCTTTGTCATATATATTTATTAAAAAATAAATTTAGTAAAGAGAAAATTTAAATTTTGAAATGCTTATTATTATATGTATTTATTTAAAAATGATTTTTTTATTCATTAATAGGCTTGATAGGCCAAAATAATACTGCGGGCTACACAGCAAGGAATAACCTTCCACTCACCAAATTAATAAAAATACTTGTAGTCGAAAAAATTCAAACTTGGGACCTGTCACTCTTCATATAAATGAAAAGACAATCAAATCACATATGATTGGTTTAAAAAATAATTTTTATAAATATATCCAATCAGCTAATAAAATATAATTTTCTAATTGGCTATAACTAATGTTATTTTAAAATATTCTAAATTTTATCAAGCGCGATATCAAAAATCTTATTATTATCTAGTTTTTCACATTTATACATAGTATAGTATAGTATAGATTTTTCATGCGGATTAAGTAAAAAGTAATATTATCATTATACTAAAAAAATATTATCATTACTTTGGAAAAAAAAAAAGTAAGAAATAGGTAAAGATTACCCCCGTTGATTTGTCTTTTGAATGATTATCTTATTGGTGGACGGGCCGACATTAATAAAGTACTATTTTTTAAATTTTGGAAAAAAAAAAAAAAAAAAAACAGGGAGAGAAATTAGAGACAGAGAACCAATCAGGAAAAACATAAAAAAAAAAAAAAAAAAAAAGACAGGAGAGAATTAGAGACAGAGAACCAATCAGGAAAAACATAAAAAAAAAAGAAAGAGATAAGAACCAATCAATTGGCACCGCGTGTTCGCATCCCTCTGGACGTACAACCACAAATCGACAACCTGGAGATAGCCAACTGAGAATTGAGAAACTGGAAGAAGTTGCCTCACGCGATAAACAAGGACAAAATAAAAATCCATTTCCTTTTCAACTTAGTAAAACTACGTCGTTCAGTTTCCCCAAACTCAACATTTATGACATTCATCCTTAGCGCGTGCACATATTTTCACCATTAAGATACTAACGGATGTAGCAAAAAATCGCTACTATTGGCTGATATTATCCACTCTCATTATTTAGCGCGTGGAGGAAAAAATAAAACAATTTTATTTTGTTTGTACTTGTATTATGATTACGTTTGGTGTCCTGGGTTTGGATTTTTAAATAGGGAGGGAATTGAATTCAATTATTGAGAGGAAAAGGCACAAATAAAGACTCTTTTCTTTTTTCATCAACAGATCCATCTCTCGAATCGAAACCCTAATTTCTTGTTATTTTTATTCACATTGACAAAAAAAGAAGAACGAAGATGGGATTATGGGAAGCATTTCTCAATTGGCTGAGAAGGTAATTTTTTTTGACATCTGTTTGGATGCTGAGAAATTTTTGAAATTTATTTCAATTTTTTTTCTCTGAGGTGTGAAGTTTCTGAATTTTGAATTCTTTGAAATTTAAACCAAGACTAATGATAATAAATGGGCACACATGAGTTTCTTGATTTGATTTTTTTGCCTTAAATTGTCGAAACCATTATTCCATTTTGTGATAATTAAACCTTGGGTTTGGTCGAAAGAAAATTAGGCTGTTGTTTAGGTTTTATTTGTTTGGTTGAAAGGAGGCTTTGGAAAAGAGAGGAAATTTTGTTTTGAAAAATTTCAATGCTCCTTAAATTACTCTTAAGTGACTATTTGGATTATTATCTCGTTTCATATTTTCAGTTTCAATTTACTCCCAGGTAGAGAGAGAGAGAGACAGAAAGAGATAGAGATATTTAGTTTCAATTTTAGGTGGCAAAATGGAGACTTATTGGAAACAATGAAATTTTTGGTTGCATTATTTGCTAGGAAGTGTGAAGGATTTTAATTGAGTATTTCATATGCTTTCATGGAAGTATCTACTGAAGGTCTTAACTGGATGAGACTAATTAGGTTGATTTTTAACATGTGTTATACAGCTGCATGAATCCTTAGATGTATTAGGTGGAATGCACTATTGAAAGACCTTGAATCAATTAAACAATCAATTTTTGATATGCTAAATAGTTAAGTTAAACAGTGGCAATTATTATGAGACCGAGTCGGTGGTTTGAGAACAATGGTGGTGGGAATTTTTGACCCAAGGCAATAGCTTATTATGATGTCAGCAAATCTTTAGGTAGCTTGTGGAAGCTTTTTTAGTTCCATGATGCTGTGAAATGGAATTGGTTGCAGTTTCATAGGTTGAAAGTAAGCATATGGACAACTTTTGTGGTGCTTGAAAAATTTTGGGACATTTGGTTCTCCTAATGCTTAATGATAGTGGTTCTTGATGGTTCCTTTGGGATTTTGGTCATTCGTACTTAGATCTTGTTGGTTCTTATAGTGACGTTTCGTATGGTCAAAGACAAGTTTTTTTTTTTTTTTCTCCAATTGTTGGACTACCAGCTCTAATAACATGCGGTAGTGAAATTATATTTTTTTTTTTTTTTTTTCTCCAATTGTTGGGAACTACCAGCTCTAACTAACATGCGAGGTGAAATTATATATATATATATATATATATATATAATATCAATATATATCAATTTGTCTAGGCCGGATTTATTGGGTCTCTTAGTAAAAATTGCAGTTCTCAAGTCGCACCATCGATAGAATCAGCATTTCTGCTGCTGTTGCTATGAAAAACTACTGTCATAATAATAAACTTCATTTTCAATGCCCTTGTTACCCCTTTCAATATTAATCCTGGATGGCTTTAAAGAATTTCATAGAAATTAATCATCTAGTAAATCCATGCAATCAGCAGAGATCTTTACATGTTTTTGAGAGTCCCTATTGCTGCAACCTGTATCAAGTTAAATCGCATAATATGAGTGGATTGAAATGATTCTTGCTCCTTCCCTTTCCGCGGAAGTATCTGATCTCAAATAGTCTTGACTCTTTATATGTATTGGATTTTCCATTTTTACATATTTCTTTTGTTTTCTGATTGTAGTCTCTTTTTCAAGCAAGAGATGGAATTGTCTTTGATAGGACTTCAGAATGCAGGGAAAACATCACTCGTAAATGTTATTGCAGTAAGTGAGAAAGTTCACAACTTGTTTGTTTATATGTTTTTGTTTTTCTGCTATTGTTTTAAGCTGACAGCAGAATTTCTATTTTGACACCTTTTTCTAGACTGGTGGATATAGTGAAGATATGATCCCAACAGTAAGTAGCCTTCCTAAAACTACTTTATGTTGTGGCCTATTTCTCATTTGTAATGGAGTTCTTTTACCTGGTAACTACTTGCATTAATTCATGGACATGCCAATCAAGTTGTCTCTTTTACCTACAGGTAGGATTTAATATGAGGAAGGTAACAAAAGGAAATGTCACAATAAAGTTGTGGGATCTTGGAGGTCAACCAAGGTTTCGCAGCATGTGGGAAAGATACTGCCGCGCAGTTTCAGCTATTGTGTATGTCTCACTTTTTTAACTATATATGCATAACCTTGTTTGCAATCTTCATGCTCACTTTTGTCTCAAAATTATAGGAAGAACTTTAAGACCTTTGAAGTATGCAAAACCATATGCATGTGCTTTAATTTTTTTTGCTCATATATTTTCTTGCTGAAATGTCAGTGTTTCAAAAAACATGACCAATGTTTATCACATCCAATAGTATCAGCATGTACATCTTTTCTTTTCATATTTGTTTGTTTTCATCTATTTTGTTGATAAGAGTATTGATATGGTCTTTTCTTGGATATGAATCTTCTATATCCAAATTTACAATGAAATTCTTCCATCTTGAATTCACACTTCTATTGCTCACGTTATACTTAGTTTTCTTCCTTTATCAAATTCCCAGAACCAAGTCATGGATTATCTAATGTTTGTGTTCATATAATTGGTGCTTAAAGAATGCTTAAGCTGCAAAAACCTGAAAATGTTTTCTTTTCAGCATATATGAAAAGAAATGTATTTTAGCTAGGGGATGCCTTGTATAATGTATTGCCTCCAATATATGGGCTTAACCATAGTTCTTGATTTGGGGAATTTGAGAGTAATATAAGTCTGCAAGATTAATAAGGACCTTTATGTGAAAATTCTGTATAAGAATGCGGCATTACGTAGCTAACCCTGTAGCATTACCTTGTTTCTTTTAAAGCAAAATTGAAGATTCTGAACTGAACTCAGAGACCTTGATACATCATTTGCATCTGTTTCCCTTAGGCAAGGGTGCAAGAGAGGTAAAGATTTGGTGCAAGATATGATTCTAGTTACTGTGGATTAGAAATTTAAAAACATTTTGGAAGAATGTAGTAGGAAGTTTATGGTTTTGAGCAATATCTTAATGATTCATGCTTCATCCACCCCTATAGTTTTGAATTTAGTCTTGGTTGAGTTCAGCTTCTTCATTTCACTAGCTATAAAAATTTACATCCTTTGATTCTGTGACTCTTCTTGTTATGCTGTCTGCATTTATACCATCAATGTGCCCTAAATATGTTGTGTGACCTCCTCTTCTTGTTGCAATTCTCGTTTACTGAAATCCTTGCACAACTTAAAATGAGGACATTGCAGAGAGAATGGATATTTTGAAAATTTAGGCTTTAACTTGTCCTTCCTCATCCTGTCTCTTACTGTTATGAGATCTTGCAGCCCCAAGCAGGAGAAATTATGTGCAATCCTGTTACCTAGGTTGAACAATGATTTATCCAACATTTCACTGCTGCTTATTTTAAATGACAGTGTCTCATGAGCTAATTGTGAAATAGGCGTTGAAATTTTGTGCTGAGTTATATTAAGTTAGCCCAACATGTTGTCTAGGTTATGTGTGGCTCTTCTGGATGTTGTCTTCTGTGAAAAGAAGCGTTCTTTATCAATTAATGTGTCATAATTGAATACTGTTTGGAATAATAGTTGAGTGGGATAGGTTTTGAAGGAAGGGTCTCCCAAGTCTTGTATTTTTACAGATCTTCTGTTGTTTTTTGGTGGATACGCGAGCCTTTCTCTTGTATATGGATTGGCACCCCTTGGTGCTAAGTTCTAAATTTATCCTTTTGAAAAAGAAGGGTCAGATAGGAAGTTCGTTGTGTCTATTCTGCAGTCTATCATTGGTATTGATATCTTTTCTTGTTTGCTTCCCTTTTGAATATCTCTTATAAAGCTTGTTTAGGTTTAGGCATAAGGAGTCTTGGTTTATTTTATTAATATGAGATCCTTCTTAGGAAGTGTCCTAAACAGTAGGTTTGTATTTTCTTTTCCCCCTCGTGATGATGATCCCCATCTGAAACAAATGTAGTTAAGCAGAGTCTCAAAGGCCTTTTTATTTTTTACAGTTTCAATTTTCTGGTGCATAAATTTATTGAGCATCTTGCCTGAAGGCAGTTGCAAACCTGCTGCATGGCGACTCTTTATGCTTGTTCTTTATATTCTTTATGCTGCATTTTGACAAACTGTTCTCTTGATACATATTCAGAGATGAGCTCAATATTTTTTTGCGTTTGCAGATATGTTGTGGATGCTGCAGATTATGATAATTTATCTGTCTCAAGAAGCGAACTTCATGACCTTCTAAGCAAGCCGTCTCTGAATGGTATTCCCTTGCTGGTACTTGGAAACAAGATTGACAAACAGGGAGCTTTGTCCAAACAAGATTTTACAGAACAAATGTAAGTGGTGTTTTGGAAAAGCTTTGCCCAAATGCCATGAGAAATCTTTAAAACGGTGTTGAATAGGCTTAAGATAAAAAATTTTACATTGATCAAACGTGTCATGTTTGAGGCATTAACTATCACAAGCATTTGTTCAATAAAAGAAAAGAAAAAAAATTTCTCTCTAGTAGTAGTAGGGATTCCTAGCAAAATCAATATATTAAATTCAAGAGGGAATCCATAAGACAACGATATGAGAAGCTTAGTTCTTGCCACTGCATATTCTTCTATTTTCAATTTTAATACTATCAAAATTTCACCGTATTTTGATATTAATTACATTATTTTGTGCAGGGGGCTCAAATCAATTACTGACAGAGAAGTATGTTGCTTCATGATTTCATGCAAGAACTCTACCAACATTGATACAGTTATCGATTGGCTTGTAAAGCATTCGAAATCAAAGAATTGAGTGATGGTTGCTGTACTTTTAGCGGTCAGTGTATGAAAATTTTTAAGCGGCTATAATTCAGTTTGATTTTAAGTGGTTTCTTCTGTGTCTAACTGGGTTCTTGATGTTTGACCATTAACTTTATTTTCCCTGAATGGAGTTAATAGCTGGAGTATGTATTGTTTTCATGACATGACACCCTTGTATTTTTCTTTTTTCGGGTGGCAAACTGGTTTTATTTTTATGTACAGATATTAATTTGTGATTTGCAATGTAAACATGCTACAAGTGTTGTGGTTTTGAGTGAAATAATGTTTTTTCATGCAAGTGTGTGCATCTTTAATTGTGAATTCTTAGTATTTGCTATATCGATTAATATAGATTTGGGTGGTCTTTCGAACCTGCAATCTTTTTTTTTTTTTTTTTTTTTATATAGATTTGGGTGGTCTTTCGAACCTGCAATCTTTTTTTTTTTTTTTTTTTTTTTTTTATTTATTGCATTTATTAGTGAGCAATACTTGAAGCAAAAATTTAACAAGTGATTTAACACATTATTGGCAGGTTTGTTTTGGATTGATGAAATATTTTGACTGATAGAATTTAAAACTTTTTATAGGTTTACAAGAATTATTTTCATTTAGTTGAGAAAAAATAAATGACAAATCAAATGAAAAATCAATAAATTTCATTATTTTTAGAAGACATAAAATCTCATTTCAAATATGAATTTTCTCAATAATTGTTTTTTATGAATAATCATAAAATTTAACTCATTTAAATTTTAGTCCCTAAAAAACATTTTGTAAATTCATGAAGTCCAATTTTTTAAAATCAAAGCAATGTAATACTGAAAATTTAATTTATTTCAAAATGAGCAACATAGATTTTTAAATCTTTCTAATCAAATGTTATGAAATTAAAATCGGCTTATTGCTTCAATTAAATTTTTTTTTTTTTTTTTTTTTATTTGCATTTTATTAGTCGAGCATCTGAAGAAAAAATTTAACAAGTGATTTACACATTATTGGCAGGTTGTTTGGATTGATGAAATTTGAATGATAGAATTTAAACTTTTTATAGGTTTACAAGATTATTTCATTTAGTTGAGAAAAAATAAATGACAAATCATGAAATCAATAAATTTCATTATTTTAGAAGACAAAAATCTCATTTCAAATATGAAATTTTCTCAATAATTGTTTTTATGAATAATCATAAAATTTAACTCATTTAATTTTAGTCTAAAAACATTTTGTAAATTCATGAATCCAATCTTTTTAAAATCAAACAATGTAATATAAAATTTAATTTATTTCAAATGAGCAAATAGATTTTTTATCTTTCTAATAAAATGTTATGAAATTAAAATCGCTTATTGCTTCAATTAAAATCTTATTGGTATTTCATAAAAATTATTTAAATGAGGTAAGCTCCCTGTTAAGTTGTTGGAAAAGATATTTTAACCCTCGTTTGATTTCTTACAAATAAAAAAAAAATTTGAAGTATTTTGAAAATTTGAAAAATAAAATTACGAAAACCCCCTGAGGCACATGAAAATTATTCATGTGCATGTCCATTTACAATAATCCAAAAATTATTGTAATAACCTCTCCTTTTTCTTCTTCCCCTTTGAAGAAAAACGTTTTTTCTCAAAAAAAAGAAAATATATAAATAAAAAAATTACAATAGTAGCTTCTAAGATTTAGAGGCAGTACGAACTGTACGGTACAAACTGCATGAGAACTCATCTCACTCCATGACAAACTTATAAAAATCAGCAAAGCAACTAGAAGCATCTTGGCCTTTTTGACACAAATCAAAACGTACCTGGTCTGTTTGTTTGGCAAGAAAACCGACAAAAAGCAAAGAGGAAAAATCATCTCCTTTTCCCCTGTTTTCTCCGCAACCAAATAGAGCACCAGTGCCCAAATTATTATCCGACCATATTGTAATTAATAATTATTTACTTACAATCGGTTTTACTTAGTGTTATCTTACGGGTTATGTTTGTATTTGTTGATTTTTGTGGGTTCCGTATATGTTTTTTTATGGTTATTTTGTTAGCATATGTTATTCTTGTTAATTTCTTCATCTTCTGTTTTGCAGTTCTTTTGCTATGCTTGGTTTCTTCTGTTCCTTGCTTCTCAGGTTCATCTTGAGGTTAAGGTTAATTTTATTTTATTTTTTCTGAGCTTTTTCTTGTATAATTGTTTGTTTCCCTAAACTAATTAGAGTTCTGTGCTAAAATAAGTGGGAATTTCTGGTGTCATAATTTTGGATTACATGTCAAGTGCAGATACTTGACTGTATTATTATTGTAATCTAATAATATCAGACAAAGTATGTTGACTTCAATATCAGAAACCAATACTTAAACCCATATGATTACTGACTTCTTAATGTAGAACAGAAAGGAAGGCGAGACATTTGTAGAATTAGAATTGAGCTTGGGGTCTCTCACATCCAAAGTGAGAATCATACTGATAGATCAAATTCCCATTTGTTGTTGCTGATTTTGCTTAATTTGTAACATATGGATTCTCTAATTTTCAATTAATATGAAAACGAATAGGATCTACTCTAGCAGAGAAAATGTTTCCTGTTATTCAGATTTTATTATGATTGTTATATTTGTGTTGTTGGATTCTCTAAACCTTTTTTTTATTGAAACATTGTATTTGACCTCAGATTTCTATGTTTCAAACTACAATAGGATGTTGAGTGTGAAAATTTGTATGGGATCTAAATTCCTTACATTGGCATTCAGAGAATTGAACATTGAACTAGTCACACGCTAAATAAGAATCATACTGTTAGATCAAATGCGCAATGCTGATTCTAGTTTGGTAATAGATAAGCAAAGGATGAGTATTGACCTTATGATAATCTTCTTTTCCTTGGCATCACTTGCTGTAAAACTTCATCTAAATATTACATGTACAAGAGATGTTCCTTAAACCATTTTCTGTTTTGACTTGAAAGCACTATTCTTGGTTTTGAAGACCAAATTTTCAACACCATCTAAGTACTTATTAATGTCAAGGTATGCATGTAGCGGAATGGTATAGAAAACTTTGTCTTCTGGTCTGCAGTTGGATCGAGCTCTGTTTGATTAGGTTAAGCAAGCGAAGTTGACTTTATAGCATTGGAGTTTCTTGACAAGTATCAATTATTGTAAGGGTCTTCAGCAGCACATGCTAATATCTCACATATAATTCGGAGATGAGATGACTGGCAAATTAAATGGAAAACAGATAACGAAGTGCCATGACAGATCACAGAACCTTTTCGATATTTATGTTTGTATCTTGGCGTGTAGTCTTCACCTTTTTTTGGCTGTCTTTGGATGGTTATTGTTAATCAGTAAACTTGGTTTTAATGTTCATGCCATTTGACAGGGTTGAGGTGACTTCGATTTTTCTTGTTAATAAATGAAGGTAGATACAGCCATACAGGTATGATCCTAAGCTGAATATCATTTTTCACATTTTGTTTTGCAAGTCATTCATTGGTCAAGATTTTTGTCAGAAAATAGTACTTTTAGATTCTCTATAGTGTTTCATAAGCTGTTCAAAAATATATATGTATAAAATATTTAATTCTTAAATGGGGCATTCCGAGAATTGAACTCGGGACCTCTCGCACCCTAAGCGAGAATCATACCACTAGACCAAATGCCCAATAGATAATGTTGTTTCCTTTGTCCACCCCCTTCTATGATAGCATCTAGTCTCCTTTAAAAATAAAATAAAGATGTGGAATATTGACCGGAGCCTGACATATTTATTTTTTTATATAGTTTTTGTATTTTGCCTTAGGCAACTGAAAACTCTCATATGCTGCTAGAAAAGCATTTGTTTTCCTGTTTGACTTGGGCGAAGATGATCTGATTATCTGCTTAAATTTCATATCATAAATTAAAATGAAAATGTGAGGCATTCCGAAATTGAACTCAGGACCTCTCATACCCAAAATGAGAAACATACCAGTAGACCAAATGTCGACTTGTTGATTATAATTACATGCAATTTTTATTGATCTTCTAGTCTGGAGGTTGGGAGCACAATTTCCCTGTGGATACTCAATGTATAAAAGAATGTGACAGTTTGTTGGTTCTTGCTCCTTCTAGGATATTTTTCTACCGGCTGCGCTTTTTTTTTTTTTTATTGGAGGAATGAGGCACTTACGCTTTCCTAACAATCATGTTCAATTGGTGACTATGTCTTACTCTTGAATCAACTTATTTTGAATTTCTATTTATAAGGATCTATATTTTCTTGACTAAAATTATGGGGGCAATTTAAGTTTGAATGGGGCTATTTCTGTATGGTTGACTATTAAACTTGGAATGGACACTTTTAAGTATTCAGGACCAGCAATAAGTTGTCTAGCTTTAATGTTTGGCTGGTTTACAGCTTTCTCCAGGTACGAGTAAAATTATGTTCAAGAAAGGTAAGTTTGAATATTCGGATAAATAAAGTTTTGGTTGAGTAACAATGAATTAGTATATTAATTGTATGCTAGCCATTTATGATTAACTCTTGCCTGTTCCACCTATCTTGAGATTTTGTTTTCTTGATATTTGCTTATTTAATTTGTTGCTTTTTTTTTTTTTAACTCTAGAATAATTGTTATGTTAAGATTATGGTGTTATTAAATATTGCAAGGAACAATCAGTAAATTATTCTGTGAACCCTATATATATAAGGTCTGTTTTCTCAAAATTTGTCAAGGAATTTTTTACTGTTCAGGTTAAGGTATAGCAGTGTAGTTACTTTCCACTTTCCACCTTAGGCTGGGTTGTTAGTCTGAGTGATTGAACTTGCAGAACCATTTGGTGGGGTGGAGGCAGCTGGCCTTTTATTGACTGCTCAACAGTTGTTGCATCTTTTTTGTTTGAAGAGAGTTGCAAAAAAAACATGAAAGTCCACATTGTTCTGCTGACTTTGGGCCATACGGGGCATTCCGAGAATCGAACTCGGGACCTCTCGCACCCAAAGCGAGAATCATACCACTAGACCAAATGCCCTCTTGTCGACCTCAAGTTTTGTTAGTTCTTCTATAGCGCTAATGATGTTTAGGTAGATTAGTTGAATGTTTTCTGTTGTTGGGCACTGAAATTTTTCTTCTTCTGACCTACTTTTCTTAGATCTATGCCTTTTTGTGTGATAACCATTCTTGATTTCCTTTTTAGTTTCCCAATCACAATATTTAAAAGGAAGGCTCATTATAGTTTTTCATTAATGACGCTATACTTGTAGTTTACCTATCCGACTCCTAGTTTGGTACTTGCGGTCTTAGTTATTTCCTTGTGTTAAGCTGAAGATAGGGCACTAGACTGAGCCTCAATTGGAATGAGCATAGAAAATGTACCAAAATAAGCATGATGTTAGTCCGCTATTGATGTCTGCTGCAAAAGTTGCAAAACGTCGTGATATTTAATATTTATAAACTGGAATTACAGTGCAAATTGAACAAATTAATATTCTTTTGTTACAGGGAGTTGCAGCAGAATGGTAAAAAAGGTGCTCATCTGGTTCCCCAGAATTGGACTCAGCTTCTTTAGCTCAAGATTGATGGAGTAGAGTAAATTTGATGAAGTTTAATTCCTGGACAGCTCAGGAGCTAAAAATGCAAGTGGGGCATTCCGAGAATTGAACTCGGGACCTCTCGCACCCTAAGCGAGAATCATACCACTAGACCAAATGCCCAACCGCTATTCTGAATACATGAATTTATTAATCTTTGTCGACTTAATTATCAAATTATGCTGTTTGTTTGAATATATATGTGTATTTATTGTCAGAAAGCTAATTATTTAATTGTCTTATAATTTTGTGGCTTATAGCGGTGTTGAAAATATCACTTAAAATGAGTAGTTGAAATGTTTAATTTAAGATTTATAATGTCTTAATCAATTTTATTTGAAAATTTCAATATTTACATTAATCAATAAATTTAATTCCGAAATTTTTACAAGACACGCCATCTTAGAATTCACATGCTCAAAGATTAATATTTGAAATATATTTAATTGCTTTATGTAGGAATGATATTAATCTTCATTAGATTAGGAGTCGAGTTAATATGGGAGCTCAGCTTTAGCAAGAGTTTTTTTTATCTTCATTCTACTTCCAAAATTACCTAATTATTTATTATCTCTTCAAATTTTCTCTTAATGAAATTTTTCTTTCACAAAATAAAATATTGCTTTAAGATTCGTCTAAATCAAAATATTTGGCATTAGAGATATTCATTCTACAGCTATATTAAGTAGACGTCCAAGTCCTCTATGAATGGGTAAATTTTTAAAGCTAATATATTTACGTCCATGGAGTGCATACAAATGTTAAAAAAATAAGTCTCGGTAGTTTTTACTCCCTACCTACTACAGATTTATTTTTTCTATAACAAATCTGTTTTTTTTTTTTATTATTATTATTATTTTATCTCCATATTTTTAGTTTTTTTTGTGCCTTCTTTGTGAGGGCAGTCCTTTCTTTACGAGGGTTTATTACTAAATAAAATTATGATGTTTAATTTTATTTAGTTAGAAATTTTAGATCTTAATTTGTAGATGTAGATCTTTAATCAATGGAGTCTGGTAGTGCGACTTATTCCTCCACTGATGCTATTGATGCATAGCGGTAGAAATTTATATATGTTCATCATTTATTGCAAATTCTTGAAAAAGCAATCCAATTATAGAATTTACTATGAAGGCCAAATTTCAACAGTGGAGTTTCAGCAAGGGACTGAAAATTAGATTTTGTCATTTGAGCTTTCAACTATTAGTTTGAGGGGTTTAGTGTTCTCAATGGTTTGTCGATTTATAATTAATTCATAATTTTTTTTTTTTTTGAAAGAATAATTAATTCATGATTTTACATACAATGCTGGCATCTACCTTAATATTTTAGTGTTGAAAAAGTTTTATTATTGAACTATATAATTGTTAAATATTATTGCTCAAAAGGATTCTTATAGGAAAAAATGGGGCATTCCGAGAATCGAACTCGGGACCTCTCGCACCCAAAGCGAGAATCATACCACTAGACCAAATGCCCAGGAGTTGACGAATCGTTGATTACTGAAATATATATATAAATAGATAATGCTATTAAGAAAATAAAATATAATAAAATATAATGATTCAAGATTTGAAGGATCTAGATCACAATCAATGAAAATTAATAAATTATTGTCTTTTTCCTTTGGTAGGGAGTAGGGAACATATATATTATGATGGTGAAACATATTGATGACCATTGATTAGTGTTTTGATTAAGATAAAATGCATGTATATTTCATTAGCATACAAAGCTCACAATCACAAGCAATCATTAACCCTTTAAAAGATTTTAATAATACCACTTAAAGAAAAATTGATCTACTAATAAATCACTTCCCTAATTATGATTTTGATATATAGTGCCAATTCATAATTAATTACACCTAATTTATCATTAACAATGTCAAAAAAAGTTCATCAAAGAAGACAAATTATGGAAAAGGAAAGGAAACCAAGAAGATAGCCAGCTAGGGGTTTCATGATTAAATTCTTTAGTGTGCCCACTACCTTTATGAAAAGGATTGACCCTTTTCAAGTTTTTGTGAACAATATTTCTAAACTTTTTGAATATTTTTCCTCTAATATTTGATGTTAAGTAGCTCCATAATAACCTATTATGTTACTAAGAGGCATCAAATTTTCACCTCGTGCTTAAAATTATTTTTCAAATCTGGTAATAAGTTCATAGATAATTGTGGCTCTAGAAATTTAACAATAATATCTCTTTCTTTCATTAATTTTGAAAATGACAGTCGAACAAACCAATAGCTCATTACATTTGTATAAATCTATAAATTATTTAAGAATTATACTTTTATTATATTTAATATTTATACATATATCTCAAAAGTTTAATACTATTAGTTAATTAATTTAACGAAAAATGATAATATTTTTTCATAATATATATATATATATGATACTAAGTCTTGTGATACGCTCGCCATATATCAATTTACTGCACTTAAAATATGATTTCTAATATTTTGAATTACTTTAGAAATTGAATCTTAATTAATAAAGAAGAAGAGTTTTCGAATAATATATTGTACTATTTTTGCTTTGTTATATTAGCAACTAAAATAAAGAAATTATCAAAATAATTAAATTAAATAGTTAGAACATAGGACACCTGGAAGATGGAATTGCTTTAAAATAGGACAAAATGATAACAAAACAACCAAAGACCATTCTCCATCAATCTTTTACAAATCTTGCTTAAAAGTTACCCGAAAATCACTAAAATCCACTAATTAATTACATATTTTTGCTTAATTAAATTTTAAACTAAAATTTTCATGCATGTATAAATAGAGGGAGAGATGAAGAGCGCAATGAGTGCCAAGTTGTGAAGAGAGAAGGAAGGAAAATAAAATTTTTGTTGGGTTTTTCCATAGATTGGTAAATTTGGAAGAAATGGCCACTGCTACCAGCTTTGGAGGAACTCAACAAAAATGTATGGCCTGTGAAAAAACTGTGTATCTTGTTGATAAATTAGCAGCTGATAATAGGATTTATCACAGGACTTGCTTTAAATGCCACCACTGCAAGAATACCCTTAAGGTATATATTACTTTTTTTTTTATTCATATAAATTAAACTTTCTGCTTTTCTCATTCGAAAGATTAGATTTCGTCTATCTTATACAATTTGTTATGTTTGCAGTTAGGCAATTATTGTTCCTTTGAAGGAGTTTTGTATTGCAGGCCTCATTATGACCAACTCTTCAAGAGAACTGGCTGTCTAAACAAGAGTTTTGAAGGTAAAATAGCACCAACTCATCATCAAATTTTAAAAATTATAATCAATTTTCTATTTCATACTTATAATTTTAATTAAAATTATTCTTTCAGGAATCCCAAAAATCGCCAAACCAGGAAAACCTATAGATGTTGAGGTAATATATATATATATATATATATAGTTTTCATGTAACGTCATTTATTATTTGCTGCTACTTCAATTGGAATTGGTATCCCACAGGTTGCAAACAAAGTGTCAAATAAGTTTGGAGGCACAAGAGAAAGATGTGTTGGTTGCAGTAAGACAGCCTACCCTATTGAAAGGGTACGTTAACCGCTACAACATAATATATTTTTCAATAGTTTTTTATTTGTCTTATAAAAATTAATAACGAAAATTCAGAATTTAAATTTGACTAGTGATACTTAAGATAATCATATTGATTAAATAATTACGAATGTTTTGTATTTTATTAAAGGTTACTGTGAATGGAACACCATATCACAAGAGCTGCTTCAAGTGCATTCATGGAGGGTGTACAATAAGTCCATCAAACTACATTGCGTATGAGGGAAAACTATACTGCAAGCATCACCACATCCAACTTTTCAAGGAAAGAGGAAATTACAGCCAACTTGAATCCGAAAAAATCATAACCGTTGAAATTGCTGCTGAATCATGATGATCAATTAAATTGTCTTGTATCATAGTGATTAAGGGTTGATGTTTTGTTCTTCATTTGTAAGATTGGGTGTTAATGTTGTTGCTACACTGAATTTTTGGGTTTTTCTGTGAGATATCTTAAGATGAAATGGTGTATTAAGTTTTGTTTAATCATCATTTGCTTAAGATATAAAAATATATGTTTTTGTACTTTGAGCTATATATTTTTCGCTTGTTTGAAAACTTATGTTTGATTTGTTAATTAACTGAATGTTTTAGTAATTTTTTTAACCATGTGTTTTGTTTGGTTAGGCTTTAAAGTGTTATTCTCGAAATTGAATAAGTGTAGTTGAGATAATTATTTATACTTAAAATGAATAAAATTAAAAACATATATAAAAGAAGGTAAAAAAAAAAAAATCCTAGATAAGTTAATTTTTTAGATGTGTCCTTATTATATTCTACAATACCTATTAAAATTTATTTTAGATAAATACTATTATTTCATCTATGAAATATGATTATAATAATTTCACCCCTCTTGTTTGATAAATATATCATTTAGTCCATAAAATTTAGATCCATTAACTTATTTAACCCTCATCTGGAGGTACGAAAATAAGTTCCTCCTATAAACTTTGTTTTATAAATTTAGTCAAACCTTATCTTACACCCTGTTTGATAATAAAAGAATTTAAAATATGAAATTGATTTGTGAGTGAATTCTAAATATAAATCATTTGGAATGAATTTTCATGTTTATTATGGTTAACTTAAAATGTGTAATTTAATTGAATCGAATAAATTCGTAATTGAAGACTTATTTGCATTTGTTTTCTGAAATATACTTACAGTAGTAATTCCACAAAAATAAATAACAAATATCATTTATACTTGTTTTAAACAATATAATTTTTTTTTCCTATTTTTTATTAAAATAAAGATATAAAATTAAAAAAATATTAATAAAATTATTTCATCGGATTTAATGATAAATGTGTATTTAACTTGAATCTCTCTTTCTCCTCAATTGTAAGAAAATACTAAAAAATATTGCTTATTTACGTATATAAAAAGTATACAAGAAGTGAGTTGTTTTACACAAAAAGAATTTATATTTTTTTATTAATAATCAATGAGTATATTTACGTTTTCCAAAAGAAAAATTGCTTTGATCAGGTTTTGATAAAATTAATAAGTTAAATAAGCAAAAAATTAAAAAAATTGCTTTGCAGGAAAGTATTTTATTATAAAAAAAAAATTGGATTGCTTAATTTTGTATAATTCATTTAGAAATTCCATCTATTTTTTAGAATTTAATTTAATTATATTCAATTCTAAAAAATTGAATTTGAAAAATTGAAATCTAGATTTTTTTTTTTTCATTTCAAATATAAAAATATGGATTTCCAAATGAATTCCATAAAAATTTATAGAATTTATTTATTCCAAACAAAGAGTTAATATATTATTTCAGGAAGCACTATTTTTAACATGTTATGCTAATATCCTAATAGATTGGAAATTGTTAAGATCCTGTAGAAAGGAAATGTCAGAAACTAGTAACGCAGAAACTAATAAATAATCTTCATTCAACTTGTGTCACTGAAATAATCTTCAATTCCTTTGATATTACATTATCACTATACAGCACGCAAAGCATCTTAACCATATATACAGATTGAACTCCACAACCATAACCCTCACCGCAATCCAGACACGATCGGAGTTTTATAATGTATTATCACAAGATACTACATTACATTTTGCACTTCCTATAATGCACAAAAGAGTGACATATTCTTCTCATGCTGCATAAATTTTCATTTTATATGCTTCGAAAATTTCCAATTTTAGCAGGTTTTTTTTAGCCCTCAATCTATCAGATGTACCTGCCACATGGAACTGAGACAAAGCAAACTGAGATCAAATTAGCTTTCATCTCGGAAATCTTCTCTCGTTGAATTGTCTTTCAGCATCTGAGCTGCAAGTATCAGGAGCTCCACCATCTCAAGTCCTGCAGCAGAAACAGGATCCACTTTATCGCTGCTAGAGTCTCCACGAAAATCACCAGGATCATTGTGGTTGCTTTCACCAATTAATGAATCATCTGCCTCAGCTGACCAACTAACTGGTAAGGTGCTGCTGAGGGCAGTCTTCAAAAGCTTAGTCTCCGAAATTATATCTCCAAGGGCTTCTCCCGAGCCAAGGGCACTTTCACAACCAACTGATTCTTTGACCTATAAGAGTAGGTTACATCAACAACATAACAATTACTAATTTCAAACTAAGGAAAGATTGTTACCCTTTTTATCTAAACTTGCACAAACCATCCATGATAAAGTAAAAGGTAAGAAAAGACGAGTCATCATAATACGGGTCCATCATTCCTATGTATTATGTCATTTTTGACTGCGTGAAACAAAGAACCAGATGCCATACACAAGCTACAATCTTTTTAATTTCTAAAACGGTTGTCATATTAATATACACCCTGCAAAGCTGGAAACTATCCTGTGCCAAGAATGCCTACAGGTGCATGGTTACATGAACTGAATACCTTTAGAAGTGAAATACGAAGTCTATGGATTGTGGTAGTCAGATGCTCGATGCTATCAATGATCTCTTTGAAGGTGGCATTTTCAATCTTCATCCTGGGGAGAGAAAATAAATCGTCTATCCATTACGAGCTGATGATTTTTAATACCAAATTACAAACAAAGTAAAAAGCAGTGAACCGGAGACAGAGGGCAGTAATTATAAATGTAATTTTCCACTGATGTCATTCCACAAATTAAGAGGTATGGTTTAAAAGCAAAAACAGCTATTCTAATGTCTTGCATTATGCATTTTAAATTATTTTCACTAACCTGGCAAAATCTATGCTATTAGACCTTCTGCTGGAGAAATTCCTTTCACTATTTAGGTTAGTTATTTCTTCATGTCCGCCCTCCACCGTACCAATCCAACGTCTCAGATATGTCCTTTTCAGCAGGTTTCTCAACCTTCCATCTTTTTCATGAGCAAAAAGCCTTTTCTCCCCACTGTCAATCAACATATTTCCTTCTATCCTTTGACCTACTGTCCTGCATGATTATGTGGTATTCTTGTAAGCAGTTCAAAACAACACAAGTAACAGCATGAACTGGAAGGACGTAGGAATTCATAATATTCATTCTTTTCAGCAAATTAGAATGAAAAAAATTACATGAAGCTTCCCCACCCCACATTCTCCCTCTCTCTTAATGAAAATGGCCATTTTACCCTGCCTGTCGCCCTGTCCCAATTAAGGCCACCTTTAACATAGATTTGATATAATAAATTTGAGCTTCAAAATAAAACATTTAAAAATTAGTATAGTTAACAATGATTTTTTTATAATCTATAAAATTATAAAGAATAAAACAGTTCTCCACTTTGAATTCACTATTTCCAATTCTACTTATACAGAGAAAAAACAAAAAAAAAGGGTTTCCTTTCCTTTTTTTCCTCTTTCTTCCACAAAAAAATAAAAGAGAATTTGTTGCAAGCACCTTAAGCTCTAAGAAAGAAATTGCCACTAGAAAGCAAAAGCATGTGCAGAAACATCTATTTAACTACACCCATAACTTAAAGGAAGAAGAAGAAATTATACTCTTGCAATTGTTGATATTGCTGCTTCAATTGTGCCAAGTCCATGAGAGCTTTAACCTTTTCATTGGTAACCTAAAACATCACAACATTTGTGCAACTCATCAATAAATCAACCAACAAATTCCATTTCTTAGAAAATAGGAAAAAAATTAAAACAAAATGGCAACCAAGAAGCTTATTGTCGCTGAGAAGAAACAAGAAAAATATGAATTCAAACAAGGAGTTGAAGTGCCTATGTTGATGGAAACACATCCGACTTTCGATTGAGAATATATTGAGACCCAAGTATGAGAAAGACTCCCATAAAATCAACTCTGAAAGATTTTTCTTATATTTTATAAAAAAATTTTGTATCATCTCAAGTTATAGCAGTGATCTGATTAGTCCCACAGAGTCCAAAAAGAAAATTTCATGAAGAAATATATTAATAGCTCACTCCCACGTCACGTTGAACTTCACAACCATCAGCATGCATTAAATATACAAAATCACAAGTCACTTACATCCCTAAATCAAAGGACCTACTTTGATTTGCTGGTAAAGCAGTATCATCTCATAAACCTCATGATCTGCGACCCTTCTTTTATTTTTTGAGAATGGTCTGTGCCTAAGTTAGCAAATACAAAAAGTACTACCATCGAAGATTTCATCTCTGCACTAATGTTTGACATTTTGACCATTAAAAGAAAGCCTAAAATTAACAAATTATCTCATTGAAACAAATAACTAAGAATTTCAGTAACCACCAATAGTCTGCAAAATTCACTCTGTTTAAGCATTAGGTTTTTAGTTTTCTGTTTCCTCATAAAACTAGCAAGACATAAAAATTTTAAAAAAAAAATGTGATTTAGGGAGAGGGCAAGAACAATATGAAAAGAAGCAAAAACAATTTATAATAAATGTCAGGATGATGTTATTCACTGTATTTAATATTACATATGTCATGATTATAGATGTTCCAAACATTAAGATATATCAAGATATTGAATATATTTCTTATGGGGGCAACTGATAGCTACATAATTTCACACAAGAAAAATACAAATTTGTTGTCAAGAAATATAGAAATATATGAAACAATAAGAACTGACAGGCATAATGCTTTCAGTGTAAAAAGTGTAAGCAACAACAAAAACACTACACAGGCATTACTTGCAGTAAGTTTCTTTGAAGCTCCTCCAGTTTTGTCTGAAGAGCTGCATTGACATTTCTCTCCAGTAAATGTCTTTCTTCCTGCTGCGACAAGAGCAGCAATGCTGCAACCTGATCAAGAAACCCAACTAAGCAAGCCGTACAATTATTTCAAATAGTTGCACTTATTAAACAGAAAAGATATATGTAAAGAAGAGAGAGAGAGAGAGAGAGAGAGAGAGAGAGAGAGAGAGAGAGAAAGAGAGAGAACTGTGCAGTGGAAGTCAATATGGCCCTACCTTCTCTTGCATTGCCTGTGCAAGGGCTTCAGAGGAATTGCCTTCTTTGTCAATGACAGTATCAAGCTGGCCATGTTTAGCTTCCTGCAGCAAGTGACAAACATAAGTTTACACAAATTAAAATTGTTAAATACAAAGGACAATAGAACTAGGAAAACAGCTTCTGATTCCAATGTTACTATTTTACCTACAGTACTGACTTTTGAATTGCTTGAAGCACCAGCAAAATGATTATTCCTATATAAGAAGAATCTAAAGAAAATATCAAAGGTCAACAATTTGAATTACTCAAATTCCAACCTTTTTTGTTACATGTTCAGTATTCTGGTCTACAACCAAACCAGAAGAATATTAGGGAAACAAAATCCTTTATGCTGAGATATATCAGGCCAACTAGTCAATCATCCTTTCCAACATTCAAAAATCTTAAGCAGATGTATCACAAACTCCTTAACTAGGAAAAAGACTCGTGCTAAAAGAAATTGATATACATTTCCCAATTATCCTTATTATTTGTAGCATTCTGATAAATTGAGTGTCAGCAATGTTCCTAGGTCAGCACCCCAATCGAAAAGATAGAAGAAAAACAGAACCCCACAAAATAAGGTAGTTATTTAACATGGTTTTTCTTGTATTCAGAACTATTTGAATCCCTAAGTCTCTTTTATCCACCATCACTTTACCTAGCCTAGTGAGGCTTCTCATTGTAGCAACTAGACATAATAAAGGACCTATTAACTTCTTATTGTAACTTTAGTGGTATCCAATCGATATCTAGCTTGAGCAATTAAGGAATCTAAATGGTCATGCAAAAGTTACCACAACACAGTGCAGAAATAGGGAGAGAATACAAGTAGCATGGATTTTGGTTATCAAACCTTAGATGCCAAATCTGGGTCAATATCATTACTTATGTGTACATCCCGACATTCATTTTCATCAAGATCTACAATTCTATGAGAAGGCCCCAAATTCCGCTCTCTGCTCACATCGATTTGTTCAATTTTTTCTTCAATCTTATTAATAGTTGATTTGATATCCAATTTTCCCTCATTCAGTAAATCCATGATGTGAACTCTGTGCTGAGAATAGTAATGGCGTAACCCTGCTATCTCATTCATTATCACTTTGTCCAAACAAGTCTGTGCGTAAGCCAACGAGTCCAAAAATTAGCAAAGAGAGATGGATCAAAATTTAGAAAATAAAATACAACAAAACTAGTATACTCACCTGCTGCTTTTCCAGTTCATAAACTCTCTTCTTTAAGTGATTTTCTATTTCCAAACCCTACAAAACACAAAATCCATACACAACCGCTGAGCAACAAAATATTCCATTTGCAAGCCAGGTAGACCAGACCTCAAGCAGCATAATCCATACCACTCGTAGTTTGCTTCGCAGGTTATCCACAGACTTCCTCACTTTCTCCAGCTCCTCTTCTAATGCACTCTGTCTGATGAGAAAGTTATTCCAGTTGCATAAAAGGGAAAAAAAAATAATTGGCTAAATGAAAATAAAAGCTTAGATGACAAACTAGAATGTCCAGAGCTAAATTTAGAAGCATGTTATCAAACAATTAGCAATTAACAATGAGGTGATAATGTCTAATTCAATTTCAGAATCTACAGACTCAGAGAGCTTAAGAATGTAGAATAACTTCTATCTATATCCCTCATATGATCATGTTATAGCACACTACTCAAACAGAACAAGATAAGAAACTGCAAATTAAACTGCAAACTTGTGTAGCAAATACGCAGGAGATACAGCCTAATGCAAGATACTAAACATGAAAAAAACATCTAAAGTATACTAGCATCAAAGTAACAAGACAGTTTTTAGACCATAAAAAGCCAGGCCACTCACTACACGGACCTCAACTTGAAAAATATCAACTTAAGCGCATTTGTCAATAAGAAACCTATTTTTAAGGCTCATATAAATAGATGGGCAGATCTTGAACTAAGTAAAGTTTGGCTTATGTAGCATTCATTTGTGAGCCCATAAACTAGATCCTGTACAAGTTTATGAAAACTTCAAATTAGTTTCCAAAATTAGGTTCTTATCCAATAATATTCTCCAAAATTCCAAAATACGTACTTGAGCACACACTAAGTTAGTTACTTTAAAAATAATCCCATTGTCAAAAATTTCCATTATAGAATATTCTCAGTTTTTTGTAATTATCTCTTTAGTACTGTCAGCTAAAACTTCAACAAAATAAAGTCACAAATTTTTTGACTCCCCATTAACCACATGTGTTTCTATTAGCTGCACATCAGTTCTCTCATTATAAATCTTTCAAATATTTACACTTGATTCATGCAATCAATTTTGCAATGTTTTTAATTCCTTTCATGTTTTAATTTTGAGGAAGAAATATTAAAAAAAATAAAACATAAAAACATATTATTTTTATGTTTTTAACTTACAGTGCACTTTAAATTTTTTGAAATTTGCAAGTAGAACTGTACCAATGAAATTCAAAAGAAAAACAGTAAATCAACAATAAAAATAAATGGGGTACAATAATTAACATGTTAATTGATTTACTTTTCTATTGAGAAAGATTTGGCTTAACTTCAACTTGTTTAATCTCGTTTAACAAGAGCGATACATGAATGGAGTATGCATCAACTTGACTTGACTCATTTAACATGTCATGCCTGAACTGAGTTTAAAGCTCATATTGTAAGTGAGCCAAACCTGAGATCGACAAAGCTCAACTCATTTTCAACCCAAAAAAAATCCATTAAGAATCTATTAAATGGTGATGATACCGTATGCTTACTTGAAATTAAAAATTTAAAAAAAAAAAAAAAAAAGAAAAAAAAAGAAAAGGCCATGCAAATTTACAATGTATTGAGAGGTAGAGGCATCATTAAAACTCCACATTTCTGCTGAGTCCTGTAATAGCAATGTGCATTTGTCCCCCCAGCTAGCATCTTCAAATCCTTTAAGAGAATGCTGCCTGATTTCATAAAATTTTTTGACAACCTGAAATTATAGAAAAAGAATTTGAAAGAAATGAAAATGAAAATGAAATATCCAGGAAAACTTGAAGATGAATCCTAAAATCTAAATGTAAAATTAGATCTCAGAGTTTGATCCCACAAGATCAGATCCGGTCAGCATGGAAGTTAAATTAAACAAGTTAAACAGTATATGTAATGAACCCCCAATTATTTTAAAGGCTGATCTTTTATTTCATGACCTGCCTAGGACACAAAATTAAACAAATACAGATGATCGAGTCAAGATAATACTGCCTTAGTGCGACATTATATTGTTCTAAAACAGTACACAGCATGGCAACATAAGCAAACTGTCAGTGAGATACCATATTATTCTCAAAACCTATTGAGATAAACCTTGCAAATGACAGCCATCAAACACCTGCTTAGCATCCTACCAAGGACATCATCAGTAACACACATAAAAATACACAAGGAAGCAAAGAAGATTACATGCATAAACCCTTGTCATTATCAGGCTCTCTTTTGTAGACCACAGATCAAGAAACTCCTGGACCAAGGTCTTGGAAACACTCTCTCATCCTAATCATAGCACTAAAAGCAAAAAAAAAAAAAAAAAAAAAAAAAAAAAAAAAAAAGGAAATAGTACTCAATCAGAGCTATATCTTCAAGAGAGGAAGTTGCTAATTTCACGTATAGTTCATCAAAGTGCAAAGAAGTGTATTGTTTGACCAGTTTTGACATTGCATAATTCTATAAACAGACAAAAAAAAAAAAAAAAAAAAAAAAAAAAAAAAAAAAAAGAATAGTACTCATAGAGCTATAATCTTCAAGAGAGATTGCTTCAAGTAATAGTTCATCAAAGTGCAAAGATGTATTTTGACCAGTTGACATGCATAATTTATCAAACAGACAACTGAAAATATATGCAGATGGCAACTGAAAGCAGCACTTTGGGAGTTGGAGAAGAAAGTGACGAGGTTTCTTCTGTTTCCAGACATCCAAATGCATGCAAATTCAACTACAATCTTGTTATCAGCTAAGGATAAATTTTCTCTAGGATAGGTTCAGGAAAATTGAAAGACAATCACCTTCTTGAAAGTTTCATTCAGCTCTTTTTGCTTTGCTAGATCACTCTGCAGTGCATCATTCAGCCTCTTCTGCTCGAGACAATCTGAGGTTAGCTCTTCTAACCTGTGTAAAAAATTCATTAAACATTCAAGTACTTATAAGAAAACCGATTAGTTGGATTTTATGGAAAACAGACAAAAATTTCAAAATTTGATTACTGGGTCTCCCAAGAGGAACTTGAGAACAGCGAGAGGATCAGAAAAAAAAATGACCAAAGAGGATATTATAAATAGGAATTAGGTAATAAATGATGCATGATTATAATAGAACATATAGCATCTCTCAGTCTATTATATAATCCATATTTTGCATTTGCAATATATCATATAAGTATAATCTTGATGCGTAAGCAGAAAATTATTACAGGCCATCAATCCCTTAGCACATCCAAGAGAATGAATCCAACGGCATATACATAATAAAGTGATAACTTCTCACAATCATCCCAAATAAACACCTTTGAAATCATTGAGACAAAACATTGTATCCTCTTCACAAACTAGATGATCCTTCTTTTCAAAGAACTTCTATCCATTCATTTTGTTGGGAGATTAATCCGTAATTGAGATAAAGTAATACAAAGATTTATAAGTACATGAGTATTGGACCTAGCATAAGCCAATTGGTTTGTGCAGGATGAGTTGCAAACTCTTGCTCATGTATAACCCCAATCTTACAAGCCCATGAACTTGTATTTCACAACACAATGCATTGCAAGGACTTCAACAGTTTATATAATCAAATAGCTCAGTAAATCGGAAACCCCACATGGAATCATCCAAAATATGGACAAAGAAACACAACCAATAGGAAATAGTTACGGATTCCTATAATATGTTGCATAACAAAAAAAACCACAGATTTGCCATTTTAAAGAAACAACTTATCCACTTATTATCATCCCTAATGACCACAAAAAAATAATCTTAAGAAGATAGGAAATTAGAATTTACTTACTGACTTCTATATAAAACATCTATGCAAAAGTAGCAGATTAAGATATGGTGGTTTCAAACTAAAATTCTAAAAATGTATTCTATTATATGACAACTCAATTGGCAACCTCTTTCCTACTGATTTCTATTGCTACTTGCTAAGCAACCACCCAAGACACAATATGATAGATGGGGAAAGACCCTTTCATTTTGCGACTCTCAGAAGTGGAAGAATATCAAAAGAAATTAAAGATGACTAGCACCTTTTCTCAATTTCATTAAATTTTTGGGACATGAGCTCTTCCTTCTCTTTAGCCTTCTCAGCCTGTCACCAACCATTAAAGAAATTCAAAACTTAGCAAATATTGCATGCAGAAACTACTTAAAGAATATGACAGATGATGAAAACAAAAGGCCAATCATATAGTAAACAAACTTTAAAGTAATTTTATGACCTCCATTATTGAATGATCACGTTCAGCAAAAGCAGAAGCTACACAGCCTTGAAAAAATTTAACCTGCTTCTCTGCCTCCATATTCTGGAGAAAGAAAATGAAACAGATCAGGGATCAAAGGATAATTTCATTAATTGCTGTGCAAAATGTACAAATTGAAAGTCTTCACTCAGTAAAATAAAAGCAACACGTAAAAAGTGTTTTATAAAAGGTGTATAGGTAGTTTGCCAAAGCAGCAAATCCAGTCAATAACTTCAACCAGGTGAAAGATAAGCATCAATTTTTTTAAGCACTTGCAGCTTTATCTGATGTTATACATGACTTTGCTATCACAAATTTGGTTCTCCTCTAAAAGAGACATCATCACAATCAAGCTAGATCCTACCTAGCTAGCAAAGCAATTTAGACAATGAGAATTGGGGAAAGAAAAGTCTAGAATGTAAAGTTTACAGAGTTCAGCATTTCTTAGACTGTTTTTTGTGCATTATCACACCGAAACCATTTTTATTTTCTCTCCATAGTTTTTGATTGCTGGTGCTTCCATTCTAGGTGGTTGTAGAGCCATTTCAGTTGATGCTATGCCCAAAAAGAGAATAAATAAATAAAGAAAGAAACAAGAATAAACCATGTTCGCATAGATGTGGCGAGAGAGAGAGAGAGAGAGAGAGAGAGAGAGAGAGAAAGGGACAGCAACCTTTGTAACCTCTGCATGATGTAGATCTGCCAGTTGAGACTAGATACAACAAAGCAAACATATAAGCTTGTGAAAAGTTTTTCAGAAATACCTTAAATGGGAAAGTCAAAATTCTTACCTTGATTCGGTAAGCCTCTGAAAGCTCCTCTTGAAGATTTATATTTTCTCTTGTGCAAGCAGATAACTTCTTTTTCAAGTTCTCAATCTCCTGCTCCAAGCCAGCTGTCCTAATAGGCCAATATGATACTTCATTTATTACTTCCTCACCAGTAACAACCCTTAACCAGACTACCCCATTCCTTCCCATAAAAATGTTATACACAATATTTTTATCTTGTGAATAAAGAAAGCAAATGTACCTCTGAAAATGCATTTTAGTAGCCACCATAAGGTAGCTAGGTCCAGCTTGCTGCATGCATAATTGCTCTATGTCTTTATGTAATTCATCGCGCTCTAGAAAACATAATAATATAAAAACATTATGTCCAGAACACCTAATGATCTAATACCTGAAACATGAACTAAGAACTGAGAAACATGAAACCTATAACTGTAGCTAAACCAAAAAGAAATAAATGGTCAAGGTCCTTTTTCTCATTCAAAGAATTCTGAACATAATGACATGAAAAAAGTAACACATTGCAGGACCAAGCATAAATATATACGTTATTGAATGAAGAAAGAAGCAACATTACCATGCTCTAGTTGTTGGATGCGAGCCAATAAGGACTCATTAGAATTTAAATTTGCATCCATATCTGAAAAAGAGAATTTCAATTATGACTAAAACGATGGTGCAAGTTAGGCTATGAACCCAAAAGCATAACAGCCTGATAATATATAGTCCAAACATGCAGCATCAAAAACCAACTCCAAACTGAACTCCACAAATCACACCAAAAGGACATGAACAAAAGCAGTAATTTGCAACTTAAATTGGTCCACTTATAAATTAAACAAACATAACAAATTAATAATTATTTAAAAAACTTCAATTTCTTAACTTGTGCAAATAAACATAGGGAAGAAGCAAAATTCTACATGTAAATTTACTAAATCAACTAAAGGAGTTTTTTTTTTTTTTTTTTTTTTTTTAAAACCAACATCAAACATGAATCTCCACAATCAATGTTCGCTGGGAGAATAGAGGATATACCAGAAATCGGAGGGGTGGAACACATAACATCTTACCAGCGGTCCGAAAAGGAACAATGGAAACAAAAGAGTAATTTGCAACGGGTAGAATGTGGTCACTATAAATTTAAAACATCAGAAAATTAATATTATTTAAAAACTGATACCATTTCTGTAACTTCGTGCAAATAAACATAGGGAAGAAGCGAAAATTCTAAGCGATTGTAAATGTATACGCGTAAATCACTAAAGGGAGTTGATGGTTTTTGTTTTTTATTTTTTTATTGAGTTTGGAGGTTGTCATAGATAGAACAGGTGGGATTGGACATCGCGATAGATATATGAACTTAAACAGCAAAACGGAAACAAAAACAGAGAAAACCAAAAAACTGAGAAAAACTTACTAAAAATAAAATAATCAGGAAGGACAAAGACACTGAATAGTTAGCTGGTAAAGGGACTTCATATGATTAAAGACGTAATTTATAGATATTAACAAAACAGCATCTGAAAGATTATTGGGAGAGGTATGTCGAAATTGGAAACCAACAAAGATTTTTTTTTTTTTTTTTTTTTTTTTAAACAGTGATTGAATCGCCGCCATAGTTAAAAACTTAAAAACAAAAACGGAAACAAAACAAAACCCAGAAAACCAAAAAACGGAAAACCCTAAAATAAAATAATCAGGAAGCAAAAACATGACATAGTTAGCTGGTAAAGGAGTTCATATGAATATAAAGACGTAAATTTAGATTTAAAAAACAGCACCTGAAAGTTATTGGGAGAGGATTGAAATTGGAAACCAACAAAGAGCTTCTTACATTGAAGAACGAATACGAATCAAAAGGCCAAACAGAGAATAAATTTTGGGGATATCAGAGGCAGAGAGCCATGTCTCTCTTTCCCTGCCTCTCTCTGTATGTATCTAGACCCGCAACGACCAAAGGAATGAAAATGAACTGCACGAGAGAATCAATGTTTTATTTTGTTTCTAATGATTAACGACTTTCGAGTAAACTAAATTCTTTTGTTATTTATTGGTGGTTTCTCCTTATTGTGATTTTGATTTTTTTTTTTTTTTAAGAAATTCTTTTACATTAGCAATTTTGCATTTACTATAATAATTGGTTTCAATTAAAATTCAAATCTTATAGTTTGAGAATCTTTAAAATTTAAGTTGTTATATTTTTTCATATTTCAATTAACTTTTATAAATTTTTAATCAAAATACTCTCTTCTTTTAGATTTTATGAAAACTCAATCGCCCTACTAATATAGATTCACATTGTGTATATCACTTCCTTAAAAATATATAATTTATTATTATTATATAGTTTAGATTAATAAAAAAAATAGACTTTTATTGGCATATATATATATTTTTTCAGAGATTGCCATTTATACTTTGTTATTTAATATTTTTAAATAATTAACTAAAAATTGTGAATTATATTGAGATCACAGTTAATACTTATCATTTTAATACAAATTTCAAATTATTCATGTACCGAAATATATATATATTTATATACATATATAAATAAAAAGAAGAAGAAGAATTATTCTTCAAAGTTATGCATTGAGAAAGTTCAAGGTTATTACTTAAGTATTATAATGCACTTGCAGGTTATTACTTAAGTATTATAATGCACTGGCATTGGAGTATGCTGTGGCAAGTTCTGATTGATAATGTACCAAATTTTGGCAAGTTTTATATAAATATGTAACATAAATATAGCTTCATAAGCAATAAATAATGAATTTTATTATTTTAACCTTGCGGCATCCTCGACTTTTATTTTGACTCATCAAACACTTTCTTTTATAATTTCAAAAATCATGCTAATTACATATCAAAATCAATATCAAAATCAAGTGAATAGACTATATAAAAGAGCCAAAACTAAAGTAATCTCCAAAGTACTTATACGAAAAATTCAGAATGCCACAAAATTAAAGTTACAAAGTTTAAGAATGAATTTATTAAAATTACAAAGTTCAGAAATGAATTTATGTATTTAGTCAGCTGACAACCCACAAAATCTTTTGAAGGCAATTACATGGAAACGATATCATTTATTCAGAAAAATCAACATTCAGGTCAAATTGAAGATTAACTAATGGCTTCTCTGCTACCATTCTACATATGATTACAAAATGAAATTTCGAATAAAGCAAAGTAACTCCGGACACATGCTTATCCATGTGCATACGTCAATAATATAATCTAGGACCAGATTGGGGCATAAACCAATACCCCAAAACTGTTTCCTCTTGTAATAAACATAAAATGGACTACAAACAAACATCTTCGTAAGAGAACTACAAACAAACATCTGTGTCAGAATTCCATTGCTCCGATTACTTTCTACATTCCAGCTACTTTTTTCTTAAAACCTGACATGGTGATAAATTCTGACCACAAACCAGAATCCTTCCAGAAAGAAGGAAAATAACAAGCTCCCATTTGGTATTGTCAAAAAGAAAGAGCTGCCTATGCAATTACAACCTACCAAACCGTGAGGATCCACAGGTAAATACATCGTGTACCCTACAAAAAAGGCTTTTCTATATGTACAGACATGCAATCCCAGCATGTGAGGGACATCTATCTCGGTGTGGTTCAAGTGCCCTCATTAGTCATTTACCAATTCTCAATATCTCCATCAAGCTCTAATCATCTGCATATTATATTGCAAAGAATCATTATCCCCTTGATTAGTATATATGAATTTGAAGTGTAAAATTCATTTACAAATAATAGGATTTAATTTAGTTATGTTGAATGCCATAAAAGTTAGTTTTTAAGAACAAAATGAACATTTGCGTTCAGATCAAACATGAAAACAAAATTCAAAATGAATTTCACAAAATTGTGGAATTCATTTATTACCAAACATAGCCTTGCATATTGGCCACCTGAAGGTTATGTCAATACCTAAGCAGCAAGTAGGACTTGCTTGGTCTCTATTTTCGGAGGTTCAATTTGGTAATTGCTAAGCAACCAAAGTTCAGAAGCAATTCCAAGAACAAAAATACACAACATAATGGTAGAAATTTCAAGTCTTGGTTGTTATACGCATAAGAACCAAAAAGAAGAGGTGAGGGCAGAGGGAGAAAATCAAGGCTTACACCAAAGTGAGAGAAGCTTCAGTCGAATACAAGCGAGTTTCAGAGAAATTCTAGAAATAAGCACAAACTTCTCCACATACCCCCACCACCAACTCATTTATTTCTCCCACCTAATTTTGATTTCAACCACAAGGTGATTAAATTACTCTTTTACTATTCAAGAAACCATTTTGACCATTAGCGGATTATAGCAACATTTCAAATGAACTAAATTAATTGCCACAAAAATAACAAAGTATACCATCTTGGGTGGAGTCCTTCCTTTCAGTGTCTTCAAAGCTGCTTCTGCAAAAGCTTGTGCTGCTTCTGCATCAGCCTCTGCAGCCTCTGCCTCCCTTGCAGCCTCTTCGGCTTCAGCTATAGCAGCTTCTGCCTCTGCAACTGCTCGAGCAGCTGCTGCAGCAGCCTCTTGTGCACTCATAGTTCTCATCTTAGCCAACTCCAAATCAATCTGAGCCTTTGTAAGCATACTGAAATCGTCCCTCTCCACTTTTGGAGATATTCTTTGTCTTCCCTCCAAGAACAACATGGAAGAATTCCTCCTCCTGTCAGAAAATGTAGAAGTAGGTGCAATCCTATACTTGCGTTTAACCTGCAAGAGTAAAAATGAAACTTGAATTAGGATCAAACACCAAAATACTCAGACCGAAAAATAACTAGCCAAACCAGATTTGTATATAAAATGTTCCAGTTGCAGTGATTATCAAAGAATAACATAATTATCAAGGTGCAAACGATATGAACCATATCTATAATTGTGTTTGTACAGAACATGCAATAACCATTTAACCCCTAGTTTGGAAAACATCTTAAAGAAGAAAACCATCTAATCCAAGTTTTAAATCCAGCATTGATTTTGAGGCTCCAATCATCTTTTATATTATAACAACAGCTTATCCAGATATATACTGCTCATCCATGATGAGAATGCATTGGCAGAACCTGCATTTAGAAGACTAAAACTGGGTACTGGCTGTTAAGACAAATCAAAATTTGATCTATTAGAAGTGTTCATAAGCTATGAGACATCAAATAATGTCATTGCAAACTATACATACTATTCCAACATGATAGAGAATTTAACTTTAGGGGGTTCAAACAACTTCTACGATTGAAGTTTCTAGAAAATGTTAGGCAATGTTAAAACAGAAATGAAAATTATTAAGTAAAAAATGAATAGCAATAAAGATCTCCAAACTCAGGAAAGGATCGAGAGGGTACAAAACTGTAATCTCGATATGCAAACTACCTATCAATAAATTTAAGCATGTATAGAACCCACCTGTTTATAGAATAGTACTGCATGAAATGCATGCATTAATGCTATAATCCCACACTCATAATAATGACAACACATTCCAGCTGATTATGATTGCATGAAATAGAGAGCTCAATTACCTTAATCAGCTTGCCGTTTGATGTCAAATACTTCAATTTTGCAGACAATATCTTCTTGAAGTCATGAGGTGGCCAATATTGTTCCTACAGAATAAACTGAGATCATAAGCCGATAACACAAAGTTTACACTCATAACATGCAGATAAAGAAATTGAGATGTCTACAATGAAGTAGAATATGTGGCAAAACAATTGTTAAAGCCATAGACTGACAGAAAATGAAACTGTTACAATTTGTATGGTTGTTAAAATTTTAACTAAATATTAGTTACCGAATAAAATATTGTTAAAAGAACATTATTAAAGGCAGTGTGTACAGCCTTCCTACCATGACAGTTCTACTTGATCTGTCATGTTTATACAGCCAAGCAATAGTGATGAATGCCTCAAAGCCATGGTATCCTAAGTTGAGAAGACTTTCATGTTCTTCCTCTGAAGTAAATGATTATTGCTCCCATAAAATATAAAAGCCTCCGGATGGTCTTTTTTTTCTTCCTTTTTGGTCTATTAAATTTCAAATAATTTAACAAATGCAATGCAGCGGCTTTCAGTTGTTATAAGTTGTATCGGAACGCATCATCCACTTGTTCAGACAAATATTTTGACCACAGTGCAATAGTTCATTTTAGCATTAGCCATAACATGAAATCAACTAAATGCAAAAGATATTTATGTTTTACTATCGTGTGGTCAAGGCATAGTTGGTCTACCTTAAATAGCTCCTACAATCAAAAAGGAAACATACAGATTCCTGAAAGCAGAATTAGGATAAAAAACTAAGAAAAAGAAGAGGTGATTGGAAGGAGAGCACCTCTGTCAAACTATCATCTTAAGTGACTTTCATTTCTCACCCCCAATTCTGTTTGGCATCAGTCAGAATGAAAATGTAGAAGACTTTCTAAAAACCCTCAAACCACAAAGATAACCAAATCTGAATAACTTTTAGCAATCATTGAATGTCTGAAAAATAAGAAACTACTGTGACCTCCTAAACAATATCTTAATAAATTTTTAAAACCTAAAATTGATAATTTGGACCATTACTAAAAGCTATATGGGACCTTGTCAACCTTACTTAAACATGTTAAAATTCCTAAATATGTGATTTTTAATTTTATCATGTTAAACGTGAATTACTAAAGTATTATAATCATAGCACTGGTATCTTTAACATCCTGGGTTGGGGAAAGGGAGACAAGTCAAGGTATACAACAGTTTCAAATTAAACATTACCTCTATGTATGCAGCTATTGTCGTCTTATTAGAACCACCAGGCTCCTTCAAGGTAGTTATAGCCTCCATTATAAGATTATCCAGCCTACAGCAAAGAAAGTACAAAAAGATTACACATGTACAAAATAAAGCTGGAAGATATATTTCATTATAACCAACCTCACACTATAACCATAAAAAATTCTTCAAGGTTTTGAAGCATGGGAACAGGGATTAGTTTTGGAGTTCTTTTGTCTTGTCTTTTTTTTTTTTTTTTTTTTTTTTTTAATTAAACATTAACCATGCTATCGGTGGTGAGCAAGCATATTGTCGTATTTATTGAACCACAGGCTCTTCAAGGATAGTTTATAGCATGCATTATTAAAGATTATTGACAGCCTACAGCAATAGGTAAAGTACAAAAAGATTAACATGTAAACAATGAAAGCTGGAAGAGTCTATATTTATTAGTAGCGACCAACTCACACTTAATAACCTAGAAAGAATATCTATCAAGGTGTTTGAAGCATGAGGAACAGGGATATAGTTTTTTGGAGTTTTCTGTTTGTCTTGTCTTTTTTTTTGGTATTTTTTTTCTTTTTTGTATGTTGTTGGTTACCTTAAAGACTGTTTTTTTTTTTTTTTTTTTTTTTTCTTTTTTGTAGATCTTTACCTTAAAGCTTTTGGATTAGTTGGGCCTATAAGTATACATACCTGTAATGCTCATTAATTCCATTTTCAGAGTTCAGATTCAGACAATAAAATTCCAGCAAATTACACTTTCATCCTTGAGTTGTGCAATGCAATTCCAACTCTAGAAAATGTAAAGCTTTCTTGATATGATTGTGTCCTATATAGTATTAATCCGGGGTAAGCAAAGTATTTCTATTTGCTTAATTTTCCCTTCATTTTCTAAGAAAATCAGATCTTCCATGTTAATTTTTCGACCCCTAAATCTTGATTGCTACATACCCCAGGCCTAATCTCCTAAAAGCTACATCGCCCTAGTCCTCATCGCTAAAGTCAAATTGTCCTCGTTCATTCTAGATCACATGAAAAGCATAGTCATAGAGCTCCACATTGATTTAAAAATATAATAAGAGTATATTCCTCAAGTGCTGAAATATGGAAGCTACCACAACAAAAACTCTTCCACAATAAGTTTCAACTCCCATGTCCATATCTAAATTTTGCAAAAAGAATTTCAAGGGTTTCGATAAGTTTCCCAAGGTTCTCAAAATATCTGACCACCATGCAGTATCTTTTTTGTCAAGTGACAGGAACTTCTTTTACAAAATGGCAGTAAAATATCTCAGTCGGTAAATTATTCAGATGAGACCAACTCAACAAAGATGTTCCCAATAAAAGTTATTATAATTCCCCGATATAGCTATATATTGCTCTTAACTATATAGTTCCAGCCATCATACAACACTACAAGATCAATTAAACATGTTCCCTGGATGCATAATACTGGAAATTTCTTGTGTAGGAGTACCATTAACAGGATTAAAGATCCAACTCTTTGACATTGGTCAGGCTCCATATCAACACTATGAACTAACAAGTCATATTAATTCTATGGTAAGATGATATAAGTGACACTTCACACCAAAACTGATGGGATACAAGATATGCAATGTGGAGTAATATTTCTAACCTTACAGTACTTCTCCTGGGACCAACAGTCTGCATCATAGGATTGGAGACCACAATTGACTTAGTATCCGAAAAATCTTCATCACTTTGAACAACAGTATTTAAACCCATAGGATTCTCTTCCTGTTTAGGGACGTGATGCACTCTTTTAACAGCTAACTTAGATTTTTCGCGGGAGCTCCACCCATTTGCCATTACACTCATATTTCTCCATTTATCCTATCCACATAAAAAGGGCAAACACATTAATCACTGCAATTTCAAAGAAAGGTCCAATTCTGCAATTTGAAGAAACAAATACTAAGAAAAAATAACTAGATATATCAAACGTAATACTCGTTTGAGCGAAATTAAACATCCACTAAACAATAACTCAAACAGAACTAACCTTGAGATCCACATTTGAACGCAAATACAAGACACCACTAAATTCAGGATCTTTGAGTATAGTACGCCATTTGCCAGCCCCATGTTTTATCACTCCAGCTTTTAAAGCTGCTTCTTCTTCTGCTGTCCATTTCTGCTTAGGCGCACCCATCAAGAGCACCACAAAGAAACTTTCCAAACGGATCCAATTCAAAGAACCTAGCATATCACATAAGAACACATGCAGTCAAACAGAAAATAAGACGCCAACAAATAAGATAATCAAAACCCACAATGACATATTCTTCTACTCAGAAACCAATCAATTAATCATTAATATTAGAACCAATTACACTTCACTCATATGCATTTCGTGTCTTAGTTCATTAAATTTTACAACAATAATAATATTACATAGAGAAGATAAAAATTATGAAATACCTAATTGAGAAGGGAAAAAAAAATTGTATAAAGTTGTATCACATAAGAAATACAAACCCTAACAAACGAAAAGCCGCTAAAAATAATAAAATCAAATACAAACAAAATTAAAATCCAAGAAACCCTAACGAAGGCGTCAATTGTTACCCCAAAACAGAAAATTCAAATTCAAATCAAAAACAGATATATCATTTTGATGGAGAAATCAACGAACTTTGAGAAGAAAATTTACCAGGAAAATGGTATGTTATGACTAGGAAGCGAAAGCGAGAGAAAGAACTGGTCGTTCTGATAATTTAAAATTAAATAATCTAGTTTAGGTTTGTTGAAAAATTTGAAACGGAAAGGATTATCAAGATGAGAGGTTTTCTAAGAACAAACAGAACATAAAAGATTTTATTACTGTCATTATTATTATTTTTGTGTGATTTATTAATAATGAGGAGCTAAAATACAATTGCGAAAAATGGTCAGCGTTTGGTTTAACCAATCGAATTGATTCGATTCCGTCTGATAAATGCATTTTCACGACAACTGAAGTTAGAACGAATACTAAAGAAATTGGTTTGGACCAAACCGAACCATATTGATTTGCCGGATCACCTTTTGGATGCATCCAAAAATTAATTTGGTTAGCCAAATATAATCAAATTAAAACCAAAAACCGACAATTATCACGGTTTAAAATAAATTGTAGTCGATTTTAAAAAATATTATTTAAACCAAATCAAAAAAAAAACAATGATTCAGTTTGATTTTCAGGTCAGAATCAAATATTGCTCGCATCTTAAATGGTGATGTTTGTAGTTTGTACATATGAACATTGACGACAAAAATGCAGACCGTTATATATCCACCCAAACTCGATCCAAATAAAGCAACAAATAAATTTTAAAAAATAAAATACGAACAACCTTCATAATCCATCGCATTTAATGTTTTCTTTTAAATTAAATTTACCTTCTAATTTTTCATTAGAATATCTTATTAGATCAATAAATTTTATTGTTATATTTAATTAACGACAATTTTATTCTACGTCTAACCTTTAGACGAGGGATCATATGTTTTCTACTTATTATTTGTAATGATTTTATATGATTAGTGAAATCTTATTATATTATATCAAAATTTTAATAGTAATTAAGCTTAATCTCAATTTTCTCTTCCTCTTCTCTAATCATTTAACCCTAATTTTAGTTTTGGTTATCACCCTTAATCAATAATAGCTCTTACTTTTTACTTTTTATAGTCTAATATTTTATTCAATTATAATAAATTCAAATCTTTTTTTTTCTTTTACAATTTTTTTTGCTATTGTTGCTTTGACTTTATTTTGGGTGAATATATAAGTTCACTCATAAACTTCGTTATTTTAACCTTGTGATACCCTCAACTTTTAGTTTGACTCACCAGACACTTTAATTTATAAAATTACACTTATTAAACACTTTAATTTTAAAGTTTATTTTATTGAACACTTCAACTTGCAAAATTATATCAATTAAACACTCATTAAAAATTAAAATTTATGAAAATTATTATTCCAAAGTCATGCTAACTACAGATCAAGTTGATATTTTGCAGAAAAAGCTAAAAATTCTAAAAATTATTAATATTAATGTTAAAAGGTGTGTAATATTACCAAAATTTACAAGTTTCAAATGAATGATAGGTCATCTGCAAAGTTCGAGGTCCACAATGTTAAAGTTGCAAAGTTCATAAATGAATTTATGTATTTAGCCACTTCGTATTTGAAGTTTTTGTATTCATTTTTTCGTGATGATTTATTCCCTTGTCTGTGAGGAGTGAGGACTAGATAAGATATGATATTTGATTTTATTTGATTGGAGAATTTAGATCTTGATTTTGCAAATTGGAATTTCAATCAATATAGCCTGGTATACGACATGTTCCTCCGTCGTGATGGGAATTCATATATGCATATTAAATGCAACAAGCTTTCGAAAAAAGCAATCCAAGTATATAAGATCTAGAAAAAATATTTTGTTATTCAAATCAATTAAATGATCAACTGCTACAATAAAAATTTATATCTTTTGTTAAAATAATCTTCAAGAAGAAATATCTAGTATCATCTCTTTTAATTTTAATTTTATTATTTAAAAAAATATACTAAATTCTTTTAATTTGTTAAAATATCAACAAACTCTTTTTGTTATAGTAGTAAATTCTACGTCTAAATCTATATGTACACTTGTATTGCTTAAGTATTGCTCCCTCTATTATATTTAAACAAAGAAAATTAAATTTGCACAAAGATTAAACACGTAGTTTAATTGTAATTTCTTTCATTTTATTTTCTAATTTATCCTTAAAGCACTTTTAACTTCTACTCAAGTTTTTATGCAAGCTCACTCATGCATGAGAGAGAAGAAGGATGCATTAAATTTTTGAAAGAATAAATAATTCCCTCAACTTCCACAAGATGGCTTCAAAAAAATGTTGAATAGCTCACAACTTCAATCAAATATTTCTTCCGTCCCATTTTGTTTTGCTTGTTATTCCTTTTTTGGACATCCCAAAATATTTGCAAAGTTTCCAAATTTAGATATGTAGACAATTATGTTTCTTATAATAACCTTTATGATTGTTCATTAAATGAAGGACTTTTATTAATATCTTAATGAGTTAAGAGTAAAAAAAGAGCAAAATAATGTTTGTTGATTAAATTCTTAATATGCATGTTTTATCAAACCATGCAAATAAAATGGGACGGAGGGAGTAATTCAAAGATTAAGATGTTTCCATCAATACACTTTGATCTCGACATTATCCCAGCAAAATTCACCTGCAACTGAAAAAGATGTGTCACTATAATGTATCCTTAGATCTGAATTCTTTCCCCATTGAGAAACTACTGCTTCTATAGACAATCAAATCATACAACATCCAGCAATATTCTAGACACAATAAAAAAAAAAAGTAAATAAAAGAAAAAACATTACTCAAGAAGTTAAAAATTATGTTCATAAAATGTTGTTTACTGACATCGAAAAGAAAGTGTCAAATGCATACAGTATTCAAAACAAGTTGCAAACAACTTTTCTATTTCTGCAAAGTCCATTTCTCTATTGTTTGTTTTTGCTTTATGTTTCAACTAGTTGTGTGTATGTATGAGTGAATCATGCTTATTTACACAGAAAACCTACTTTGAAAATTAAAAACATGTTAAAACTAGTGCATAGGTATGTCAACTATTCTTGCAATGTTTGTTCCTAAAAACTGTGAATGAATACAATTTTTGCAACCATTTGAAATTGTTATTTAATCATATCAATGCTCCTATTACTAAATAGTGCACGTTAACTAATCGAGAGGGGATTGAAATTACAAATAAATATTCTTCGGTAATATAGGTGCATTAAATTACTATCTAATTTTTTTGTCTGTCACTATCTTCACACTTAAAACTTTACTTAGAAATCAAATAAAGACAATATGAACTATTTGCTTTGACATGTTTCTCTAAACTATCATATTAAATAAATTTCTCTATATAAATCGAATACTCAAAAAAGAAAATTTATCTATTTAAATAAACTAGAGTGAAATAGAATGGAGTGAGTAATATTAATGAATTATATTTTTTTAAAAAAAATATCATATTTTAGAATTATCAAATTTTTTTTGGAAAATAATAATTAACAAATAAAACCAAAAAAAACTTAACAAATAACACATACACTTACCCAATATATGACTTAGGATTCAAAAAATTAAGAGGAAAAAAAATGGAGTAGGAACATGAGTAAAAAATAGCTAATTTATGATTCAAAAGATCAAGAGAAAACTCCTTACTTGAAATAAATGAATTCCACCACATTTGTAATTAAGGGAGAAAAACTCAAAATCGACATTTTAGTTTAATGTACTCTGTAAATTTATAATTTTAGTTCAATTTCCCCAAGAATTTGTAATTTTAGCTCAATTTGAACACAAATTAGTCATTGAAAAGCTTTTTGATATGAGCTTAGGATCCGTCTAAATTACAAGTTTAAGAATCAAATTGGACTTTATTTACAAAGAAATTTATTGAGTTGCCATTGTCAACATGTGTATAAAGATAATGACAATAGTGTAAATAGTACTTCATTCGTCTCAAAAATTATAGTCTCAGTTCTTTTAGACAATTTAAGAATAGCTAGTTAAACCGGTTTAATCATTTTTTTTTATTTTTTTCCATTTATATTCTTAAAGATCCCAAAAAGTGTATATTAATAATTTCTTAGACTTTTCAAAATAGAATGAATGGTTAGTATGTCAAAATTTCGGAATTAATTATCGTAAGATTTTTTTCTCTATATACAACAAATTCAATCAATATTATTAACTATTGGCACGGATTATTATAAAAGAAGATTGTGGGAAAGCGAGAAGTGAGTACTACTATTTTGGAATATCCAAAAAGAAAACTAAAACCATAATTTTAGGATAGATGAAGTATTATTATTTAAGGCTTTTTCTTTACAAATTTGCCAATATTTAGATCTCTTTTATTTTATATTAAATAGAGAAATAAATTATAACCTCATTTATAATTCTTATAACTAATTAATTATTGAAAAAAAAAAGACTAATCATAGATTTTCCCTTTTATCATTCATCGGAAAAACAAGAATTTTTTTTTATTATAACTAATTAAATTTATATTGGTCGAACTGATAAAATTGAAACGCTAATTATATCTTTATTTTTCTTTTGGAAAAATATGAATCTTTTATTGATATTGAAAAAAGAAATACATATTTCATATAAAAATAAAAATAAAGTATAAAAACATACCAAAAAAAAAAACTCAAATACAAAATTAGATTTAATTTCTTTCAATAATCTCCAACCATATTAATTTGACCTAATGGTAGGGAAAAATCTGGGAATTGGAAAAAAAAATTGTTTTTTTAAATAATTTGATCTAATGGCATTATTGATGATAAGTGTTGAGTTTTAGTGGTTGCATGTTTTGATTTGGTGGAATATTTCTTTGAAATGAAATTTTACTGTTCACTGTACCCCCCCATCTGCCATACACCAGGCGGTATATGAATTTTGAAATTCATATTCAATAAAATTTGTGAAAATATGACAGAAAATGTTCAATTTTCCCTCTGAATTTGTTTAGGGATCAAAAAATCAGATTTTACTTTTAAGTCATTTAGCCTCTAAACTTATTAAAAATGATTAAAAATGTTATATTTAACTTTTTAGACCTATTTAAACTTATTTTAAAATTTTTACAAATTAATAAACTAATTCAATTTAACTGGATTGACTTATATATATATATATATATATATATATATATATATTCTTAACAATACGCTTTTGAATTAAAGTTTCTAAATTTAGTAAAATAAAATTATATCATTAAATATGAAATACATAAATTTCATATACAATTTTAAAACACTTTAAATATATTAATATAAATTAATATTTTCGATATGAAAATATATGGATTTCATATCAATTTTTAAAATATTTACAATATTAATATATATATATAATAAACTTAAAAATTCAATATGAAAAATATATGGATTTCATATCAATTTTAAAATATTTAAATATATATATATATATAAAACTTAAAATCATCGTTCAAAGTAAAGCATGTATCATATATGATTTCCTTTTAATTCATATTTAATTAATTTTAATCTTAAATGTTTATATATACAAAAAAGAATCAACTGCTAAACTAATCCAAAATCTTAAATAAGATCTTTTCAATTATTTTAAACTTCACAAGTTAAATAGGCTAAAACAGTCAAAAAAAAGACCTTTTTGATCCCACTTAATAAGTTTAGAGGCTAAATGGATCTTTATTCCAATAATAAATTTGAAGAATATGACTATCAATAAAAATAAAATCCGCAATAAATAATTTGATATAATCTCACAAATCCATGATTTTGCATTAGAAGTCATTGAGGAGTGGGCAAGTCCTGATCAGTAGTCATCCATTAATTATTCCTTACGACCTATAAACATACTGACCACTAACCACTAAGTTGAAGTTGACAATGGAACTTTCCACTTCACCAGTAATCAATCAAATCATCAAGTTGTGGGTTCCATATCAAAATTCCATTTCTTTCTAATAATTCATTCCCTCACATCAACAATTGCATAAAAGCTTTTGTCCAAAGCCACAATATAAACCAAACTCGAACTCTAAAAGACAAATATTCCTCTTTAATACAACCTTTTAGGTAAAGCCAAATCCCACCCTTTTTTCAACTAAGCACTATCTTAATACTTAATTATAATATCAGAAAGAAACATAACCTTTGTAAGAAAAATAACCTCTACAAAGCAAAATCAGAATCTTTCCACAAAGCAAAATCAATGAACCCACATGTAGCACAAAGGGTAAAGATCCATGAGCACAAGAAAAGGTTATGTACTTCCACTTGAAAGAAAAAGAGGTTCAAATTATTTGTGCGAGATGAACACTAACAGAAAATACAAAATTAAAAAAGAAAAACTAGACATGAGAGATTTTAAAGGCAATAAAATAATATTAAACATCCTCAAAATACACCCTACTAAAGATTCAATTTCAAATCACAATTTTCTGTTGAATCTCACTCTTAAAGCTTTCTCCTCATTATTAAAAGCAAGCATCTAGCAGGCAGCAACAGCAAAGAGCAGCCAAACTGCACATGTGAAAAAAGCATAATTAGACAACCAATTAAAACATATTCTTATTGTAATTCAGTAAAACTAACACAAAAACAAAATAATGGAATTCCAAATCAAAAATCTAAATTATGTAGTGTTTGATTACAAAAGCTGGCAGAATAAACAGGGCAGGTTGGCTGGCATCATTTGCATAAATAGCCTTAAAAACAAACTCAACAGCTGCAAAACTCATGTGAAAGAAAATGGCATTTTGTCTCTATGCAAGTCATTCATCCCCTCAATGTACCTAGCCAAAAATTATCATCAACTAGATAAACTACCTTCCAAACAGTACAGCTAGCCTTTAACTTAACCAGATACTTAGACATGGATAGCAAGTCTTGATTGAAATATCAAGTGAACTTAAATCAGTGAGCCACGTAGAATAATACCCAAATTCAGAAAAAGTGAGAAAAGAAAAAATCAAGCAAAGAAATTCATGTTCTGCTTTTAGTCTTATATCATAGTTTAAGAACTATGATTATCCAGAAGTCCAAAACTTTTCTTGTACTCTGTACTTGGAAATGAAATACAGATAAATAGGACCAGTTTATGACAATGGTGCCCATACAGTGCCTACCCAAACCTTATAAACATCTGGATTTTGTTTTTACCTCGAAATCCACAACAATTTTTAATGACCAAAATACCCCTACACAGTTACCCATGTAGATATTGATAAAAAAACATAGACTTTGACCAAAAGTAACCAAACACAAATATCCTTTTACCACTAAGCCAATTCGTTCTTGACTCGAACCAAACAAGATTATCACAGATCTGAATAATCTAATTCTAATCTGGGATGAACAATTAGACATTCAGAATTAATATATTGACGATATTTCTATTTCTATCGGGCCCATTAACATTTAGACATTCAGAAATTCAATAATACTATAATATATATATTATATATTTATTTTTATAGGAGGGGAGAGGGGAGAGAGGATGAGAGAGAGAGAGAGAAAGATAGAAAGCAGGTATATACCATCCTTCCAAGGAGAGAGAGAGAGAGAGAGAGAGAAAGATAGAAGCAGGTATATACCATCCTTCCAAGCAACCAGGGCCGCTGCTTTGTTGTTGAGGAGGTGGTTGACCATACTGAGGGGCATAAGCAGGAGGAGGAGGAGGATAACCCTGAGGAGGATATCCCTGAGGAGGATAACCCTGAGGATATCCTTGTGGGGGATATCCGGGTGGTGGATAAGCGTCTTTTGGATATCCTTCAGGTGGATAACCTATGCACAAAAAACCCATAAAATCAGAACCATCAAAACAGAAACTAATCAAGAACACCAGATCTAAGTAGATCCCATCAAACAAAACAAAACAAAACCCATATATCCCTCATGACTCAAATACAATAATTCGACATAAAAACCCCAAAAAAACCCACAAAAATAATTAAATCGAAGAATCTACTAAACCCAGTTAAATGCAAGTTAATCAAAACCAAACCCCAAATTTAAAGAAAAAAATAAGACCCAGAAATACTTTTTATTTGAAATCCAAACGAAGAAACGAAAATTGAAAAGGGTTTGTACCTTGAGGAGGAGGAACACCAACAGGAGGCTGTTGTTGGTTATAATAGCTCATTCTCTATTATAATGGATTTTTGCTTTAGATGAGAGAGATCTAATTCTCAGAGCTTTCTGTTGTATGAAGTCTGCGAGATTTTTCTTTTTGAAAAGCTGTATCGGGGAGTTTAGAAAGTAGTGGATGATTTTATAGGAGAAAGACTTGTTTTTATAGGAACATACGAGACTAGAGTAAAGCAAGGCAGCTATGACCAATGCGGGTTTTCTTAATTTTTGTTAGTGATGCTATCAAAAAAAAAAAAAAATTGTTAGTGATTAATTAATTATATTATACTAATAATTAGTATATATTAGTATATTTCTCTTTTTCCCTTTTACTATAGTTTTACTTCTTTACGTATGAATTCGATTGCGAGAGGTCAGCAGTTGTGGGTGTCATTTGGATTATTGCTGTGTCTTTAATTTTAGTAAATATCCGACCAATTAATTAATTAAATATTAAATAAGTGCAAAAAATACTTTTTTATTATCCAATTAATTTTTTAAAAAAAGTACCATATATAATACCTTTTTTTTCAATATGTACATGTATATCTGTAATTAATATATATTTTAGTATACTTTAGTTTAAAAAAGGAAAATACGTCTTACCCAAAAAAAAAAAAAAGAAAATACGATATCTCTACACGCTTATTACGCGGTTGTATTATTGTCTTTATGGAAAATGCCCGCATGCACCCCCTATAGGTTCACCAAATCAACAAATAAATTCCATTTTAAACTACTCCATTGCTACGCAAGTATGCTGCTCAATTCGCAATTGACAGTCTGGACAGGTGAAAAGAATTTTCGAGTTTGATTATTTCGTAAACGTATTACAAAAACATTATAAAAACTATTATCGGTAATTTATAAAAGAAAAAAGTATTCCATTACTTTTATGACTCATCTATCCTTTTGTTTCCACTAAGTTAAAAATACCTGACACCATCATTTTTATCATATTAATTTGATATGTGTATGAATTTATACATTAAGGTTTTGTTTATTTCTGTAAAATAACTTGTAAAAAAATATTTTTTACGATTTTTCGTTATTTGAGACGCTTAGAAAAATAAGTTAACAAAAAGTATTTTTCTGCTCATAGGAAAATTAAATCATTTTTAAAGAAAACAACTTCTCGTTTTCGAGAGAGTAAAATATTTTTCGGAAATTGGCAAACCTTATAAATTCATATTTTTTAATTTATTAATTATCATAATTACTATCACCAGTCACTATTTACCACCGACCACTACCACGGGCCATCGGCGGCTTTTTTATAATTTATATATTTTTTACATTCTTTTCATATTTAACAATAAAATTTTATAAAATTTCTATTATTATTAAAGTTTTTTATGGTCTTATGAGATAAAACCAAACAACGGAAAATAAGTTATTTGGAAAATATTTTTCAAGGAAAATGTTTTTCATGAAAATATTTTTCAGTAAGTTAGTTATTTTACGGAAACAAATAGTGTTCAAATATAATTATTGCTTTTATAAATTCTTTTGCTAAAAAGTACTATTAATTATTATTTATAGAGCAATTTTATTATCTTTCTCTTTTGTTTTTCTATACACCAATTAAATTAAAATTAAATCTTGCTTGTGCAGTATCAATTCATTAAAGAGTAAAATGCTTATAGCAAATATTTATTTTATTTATAACAATCAAATTTTCGATTATACTTAAAAAAGAATAGTGCAGCATCACTCATTTCAACTATGTTTTATTTATAATTATAATTCAATAAAGTTTTTCTTATAATTATAAAAATTGAATTTTCGACTTTACTTAAAAAAAAGAGAAGAGTGCGGATCACGATGATTGATATTTTTGTTTCCCTGATTAATAACCAAACTTATCTTTTTAGGAGAGAGTGCAAGAATATACTTATGGCTTATCCACTAATCATTATACACTTTTATTTGTAGACGATGAACTCCAACTTTGGCATCAACTCTCTATGCTTTTCCTTTTTTAAGTTCTCTATATTCAAGTTAAATTGCACTTGCTTCTATAAATGGGTGACTACATAATTTAATCAATGAATTTTTAGTATAGTTTTCCAAATAATAATTTTTACATTTTTTTTATTATCTAATAACATTTTAATCGATATAATTTTATAAGATAAGATATTTTATATTTTGTCAAAATTATTAAAGTATTTTCAATGGTAATATGGATTGCGGCCGATGTGTCATTTATATTTATGGAATAGAATGTGTGAATTGTGATGTAACTGAATGTCTATTTATAGATATTAAATTTTAAAAATATCTATGCAATGCATGAATTTCACTCACATCCTCTTTATTTCTTTTTTTTTTTTCCTAAATCCACAATTTAATATACCGTCAATCACTATAAAGTAATAAATGTCCACATTTATAAGAAACCGTCTAGAAATAGAAGGTGTGTTAGATAATACCTATTTATTTATAAGAGTATTTTTTTTAAAATATTTTTTCAATTTTTTATGTGGCAATTAAATAAGGGCAATCTGTATTAACATAAATGCTCTTATAGTATAGATAACAAATATATTCTATTTCTATTTTATCTGTGCATTCTATTAAAAAGAAAAAAAAATACCATCTACGAATTTTCTAAAAGGAAAAACATGGGAAATTTATTTTTTTTTCTAATTTAACGGACCCATCATAACTCAACAAGTTGAGAAATTATTGTATTTTTAGTAAATAATTATTTTTTAAAAAAAATAAACAATTATTTAGTCTCTCAAGTCTGATTATAATTATAACTTTATTCCTCTTATTTAATAAATAAGTCTCTAATATTTACATCTATTAGATTATTCAGTCATTTCGTCTAAAAAGTGTCATTTTAAGAAATAATTATTTTGTAATTTTTGATTGTCTAATCATTCACATTTAATATAGGACGATAAAATAATTTAAGAGAACTAAGTTTTAGAAACTAATTAGTGCATTTACTAAAGATGAAAGTATAATTATAATCAAATTTGAGAGGTTAAATAATGATTTACTTTTTTTAAGAAAAAATAGTTATTATTATTATTATTATTATTTTTTTTTTTTTTTTTCCTAGTTGGCGAAAAAATATCATAACCTAAGCATTATAACTGGCTTCGGTTACTTCCACACTAAGGAATATCCAACCTTCTAAAAACAATTCCATGACATAAGCGTTATACAGTAAATCGTAGTTTCCTAAAAATAAAAATAAATAAATAAATAAATATTGGCCGGCAATCGCACAACCCAGCAGCCACAAGTGTTGAGGCATGTATTTATTTATTCATTGTCTTGTTTGGATTTATTATATGCTTATTTTCTGAATTGATTGGGATTTGAGTTTTGTTAGGTTTTGAAACATATAAGGGTTTTCAATTCTTGTTAGAGAAATTGTTTTAAAATTTCAATTGTTATCTTTAGGTATCACTTGTTTTTCACAACTTATAATGCATTTTTTTTTTTTTTTTTAATGTAATTGATTACATTGATTAGATTCTTTGTGATATGATAAAAATATAATATATTCCGATTAAAAAAAAGTTATTAAGAAAAAAATAAATATATTAGGTGCTTTTTATTGTAAAGATTATAATATGAATGTAAACATAATGAATGAATATTTATAAAAAAAATTATTAAAATAAAGTTCAAAACAAAATTTGATAATTAAAATAAGATGAAAAATAAAATAATAATTACTCAAGTAAAATAATATCTTGAAGATTAAGAAGTAAAACGACATGAGAAAAGCTTTTGACGTAAAATAATAATAAATGCTATGGTCAAAGAAGAAAAAAAAATTTAGAGTGATATTTTTTTTATAAGAATTAAATATATGTATTAATAATCTACAATAAAGTGGTTATTTAATGAGATTTGTAATTGAGTTCTAATTATGATTCCCAAATAATCTATAATTAAGTTATTCCTTTGTAAATCTTGGAATGCAATAATTAAATTAAATAATAAATATAAATTGTTTAATTGTTTTAATTGACTCGTATTTATTATTTTCCTCAAATGATTTGCTATAATCTATAATTAAGTTATTCATAAATAATCTATAATTAAGTTATTCCTCGTAAATCTTGTGTTCTACTATTGAAGATAGTAGAAATGAATTTAAATAATAAATATAAATATTTTAATTGTTTTAATGGAATTGTATTTATTATTTTCCTCGAATGATTTGCTGTAAGATTTATTTAAAATATGTTAGTTGTAGATATGAATTTATCATTTATTATTTAATCATTTTATTAATAGTTTTATTTGAATAGCATTAGATTGTTCAGTAACTTAAATTGATATAAAATAATTAATTCTTTTGCAATAAGATAGTTTACTAGTTAATATTATACCATATACTTTCTTATTTTATCCAATCAATTCTTCTATCATTGCCATATTTAATATATCCAATAGAATTTATATTTAAATAGGAAACTAGGATAATCGATCAAAATTAAATCATTTTTATTTTTTTAATCTATAAAATTAAAATCCTTAAAGATATTATATTCTTACCATATTTAATATATAACTTAGTATATAATAAAATTTCTTGTTTTAACTAATAGAATTTAAATTTAAATAGAAAATTAATACAATCAATCAAAATTAAATTATATTTATTTTTCAATAATAAAATTAAAATTATTGAATATTATATTTTCGGCATATTTATTATATACCTTATATAGTATATCATATGCTTACTTGTTTATCCAATAGAATTTAAATTTAAAAAGAAAATCAATATAATTAATCAAAATTAGATTATCATTATTTTTCTATCAATAAAATTAAAATCCTTAATGTTATTGTTATCAATTGATAAACTTAGTAGAGACATTTATGGCATATCAATGTTCTCCTCCCAGTTCATTTATACATATGGCCAAGTTTATTTCTAAAAAATAATTTATTTTTTGAAAAAGATTTTACAAAAAGATTTTCTTGAAAAATATTTTCGTGCTAACTCATATTTCATTGTATAGTTGCAATTTGAAAATTAATTAAAAGATATTTAAAATTGATATTTATAAGTGTAAAAAAATATTTTCAATTATAAAGATTTCATTTCTTACACAACTTTAGATATTAAATATAAAAATATATAAAAATGATAAATTACAATAGTTGTCCATAATCAATAGCAGTGGCCAGCGTCCAATATTTACCTGTGACAAGTTATCACTAACGTAATAAATATGTATATAATTTTTTTTAAAAGGATAAAAACCAATCACATTAAGAAAATAAGAACGAAATACAATTATAAATAAAAACTCATTGTTTGAGACTAATATACCGGTAAAAGGCTCTTCCTAGAATATA